AAAACCCAAACCTCTGCTTGGAGAGTAGTAGTGACGACGATTCGAGGATTACCGTCGTGCGACTATTTTGATCGTGTTTAGACGGTGGTAAAATACCGTCGCCGGCAACATCTTGACGACAAACATTCGTACGACTATTTAACCGTCGTCAGTCTAAAGTGCCCCTTAGTTCAGTTCAGGTCATCGTAGGACACACATAATGTCTCTGGTAGCTGGCAGACACACATAGACAAACGTAAACAGGCACCTGTGTCTAAACCAAATCCTCCGTCCACATCTTTTACTGTACACTTTGTACAGTTCAGTTCAGTTCATATTATAGGACATGACACGCAGAATATCTCTCCCAACATGGTAGCTGGCAGGTACACATAGACAAACAGACACCTGTGACTGAAATGCCACTACCAATAAATTCCATGATGATGATCGCAATCATGCATAACAAATACATCATAACAACCAACATTTATATATAAATATATAAAACATGTGATAAAAACATGATACTACTATCTTCAACAAGAAAGCAATTAATACGCAGGATATAAGCCAAGCTGAATTCTTTCAGAAGCAGCTTACTGACAAGCCTAATAATCTGCCTTCTGCATCTAATCCCAGAAGTTACAACTAATAGTAATACAAATTTGCTGGCAAACAGCTACTTTTGAAATTAGGACAAGGTTGTTTCATATCTTTGGCCAAGGGTCTCCTGGATGCTACCACTATCTTCAAGTCTTAAAGCAATTATATGTACTACTCAGGAAATGACATTATAAAACTAAAAGGCAAGCTGAATTATGTCAGAAGCCTTTCAACTGTCTCAGCAGACAATATTACAATTCTTGATGTACTAAGAGTCCTGGATGCTACAGTACCAGTATCTTTACATGAAAGAAATTACATGCAAAAGTCAGGAAATGACATTATACAAGGCAGGCTGAATTCTGTCAGAAGCTTTTTAAGTGTCTCAGAGGACAACATTACAGTTCTACAAGTAGATATCTTTGGCCAAAGGTCTCTGAGACCTCGTGAGCATGAAAGCAAGCCCGGCATACCTGACACAGTTGCAGTCACAGAAAGAATGCTGATGAGATTGTCCGGAGCTCCCAGCCGACTACCGTGCGAGGGATTGTTTCACACAGCTCCACATCTGGAAACCTGTTGGGACGGGAGAGACTCGACCTTGCCACACATTCGGCCATGGGAAGTCTCCCAGCTGTTCGGAACTGGCAGTCAGGAACTGCAGGGTAATGTGTAACTACCTTGGCGCACGTGCAGAACGGCACAATATGGGTTTTATACTTCAGTCAACGAGATTTACAAAGATAGCATTTACGTCTTGCTTGTCTAAAAATTAAGCAACTCACGAAAAGTAAACAAAAGACGGAAGGAAGGAAAATGTCGAACAAAAAAACTTAAGCTATACATGTAGGACTTGCATGACTTCCTAATTCAGACATATATTAAAAAATACAAAATCGTACATGAATTCTAAGGTACAAAACGTTTCAACATTTTTCAGCAGTACTCTGGCAGTGAAGCAGTATGGCCCACTTTACACAAGCAATTTCACGATGTTGACTAGGATGTCATGAAGCCACCCACAACTGACACAATTTCTTTTAAAATTAGTCATGGTAATTACTGGGGGCCCAAATGCCCTTTTCCATAGATCGTAATCGGCCGTTTTAATTCTAAGAGCATAGACGGATCATTCCAATTCAAAGTAGAGCGTAATTGGCGCATTTTGTGCAGAGCGTAATTCGCCATTTTATTTTACATTGTAGCTAACCAGAATTTATCGTAAAGCGTAATGGGGGAGGCTTCTTGAATTCAGCATTATACGTAGCCGGCTCTCAAAATTTAGCGTAGAGCGTTGTTGAGACCCCCCATGCAGGCCCTCATTACTTACTAGCAGCAGTATACTTCTCCAAATCTTGGGTGCACAAAAGTTGCTGGTGCACCCAGTATTTGCAGCCCTGTATTCCCAAATCAAATGCGTTTAAAAGCCTAGTACAACTAAATAGGTGTGTGATAAGATCTGTTGAAAGTAAGGGACATGCCATTCATTACAGGGAATTAGGACAAATTCAGGAGGCTGGGACTGAGATAGCAGCTAATTTGGTCAGTACAAATCAGCAGCACCAGCTACATGCAGTCATGTTACAGGGCAAAGCAGGGTCAATCTAACATGATTCAATCAGCCTAAGCACTGATGCAAAAATCATGGCTCAATCATGTATCCTCTTTGATACATTCTGTTGATGTACAATCTTCTAATAGAAGACATCTTTTATCTTATCTTCCAATTCCTTACACCTCGGTGAGATTGACCTTTCTAAAGAAAACTGTTAGTAACTTACTGTACTAACAGTAGTTTAATCACTGATAAAATTACTCTCCCAATCTGGCAAAACTTTACTTATAAATTTTGTATTCAGCACTGACATCAGCCATCATCGGTAGTCTAGCAATGACAATAGATTCCAGAACCTTTTAATCTCCTTGTTCTGTAGATAAAAAAAATGCCAATCTTGACAGACTGCTTTTCTTCCTGGCAAATGTCAACCAAAGACCACCAGTAGACTACTTCCTCTGGGGATATATTTGGTAGCTGACCTTAACAACAATCCTTGTCAATTGTATACCCCTGGAACCATGCATCCCAAATCAATTGTTATGAAAAAGAGCTGAGGTTGTTAAAGTTAAGTGTCTGTCAGCCTTCTTGTACTTGCAAAATTCCTCAAGAATTACAGTGAATTGGCTCACTAAACGTGAACATTACAATTTACAAGAAGAAAGTACAGTATGTCTCTTACCCTACTGCACTCGAGATGAGCAACAATAGGAGATTTATCCCACTTCCAGTTCATATAGTAAGCAATATTTATGTAACACTTGTAACAACAAACAAGATCACAACAAAGAAGAAGAAGATCACAGTACTTAAGACACAAAGCAGGTCCAGCACACATAAACAGGAGGTTGCGCTGCAGTACCAAGGGAAGCTGCCAGAAGGACCAAAACGAAACCTTGGCCTTCGTCTTCCCAAAGACCCATCCTATCCACATAGTGACATACCAAAATGTCATCACAATCCAGTCATCACTTCTTGAGTTCTGCTGATCGTTGTATGCAGAAAGATAAATACACAGACATTTTATAAACAAACAAGACAGACCAAAAACGATACCTCACTGGGGGGGAAGAACTTCAAGAAGGCAACACAACACTGCCACCGCCACTGGGAGTGTTTTTGGCCCGCGAACAAGGAAAAAACCGCACCAGCCAAGGACTGAAGCACCAAGTTTGGCACGTTCCGGTGTTGACGCAGCAAACATCGGAACTATTCAGCACCTCGCGATGACAAACACCCCTGCTCTGTGGGTCTATTTTAAAGGTCAGAATCATGGAGGGGCGTCCAAACTAGAGGGGCGGACCTCGAAAAACATGCATCAATCTCAGAAACGAAAAGACATACTGTAACAACAGAAGCTGTAAAATTAGCCCTGGGTTATTGTTTAACGGAATTTTAAGGGAACTTTTGGAAAAACTGTGTGTAGGTTCATGAGTTTAAATGCACAGAAATATGCCTACGGGTACCAAAAAGGCAAAATTCGCAAGGACAGTTTTAACTCTAAAGACATGAAAAAATGCGAACGGAATCAAAAATTATGCCCGTGTAACTACACTGTAAGCCTTTGGTTTAACAATATGTCGTCGTAGTGTGAGAAACAACTGTACCATATGGCAACTCGGAATCTGACAGGGGATCACCCGTAGGTCAATGATGAGCTCATGATATTTTAAGTAGGCATCGGTGGGTGAAAGCGCTGAAACTTGAAACGACGAGGAAGGAAAGAAAAACACAGTTTCACCCGCGTAAATTCGCATCTCTTTGATACATAGGACTAGAATTCGTTTACTTTGCGGACCCTGTAAGATAGGAATCTCGGCCTTAATCTAGAAATCTCTGATGGACATGTTTAAACAAACGAATCGACCAAAACATAGGAAAACATGAACTTACTTCCTTCCAAACATCCGCCATGTTTCGACAACGCCGAACTGGAAAAACTAGACCAGTCCATTCCTTGTGTAGGGGAGAGGATGTAATTTCGAAAAGCGGCATCTAGCGGCAGAAATAAAATTGCATTGATATTGGGAAGCACACATTGAAATGTTTCGTGTTTGAAATAAAATTTTATTCCATGTTTTTAAAAAAATCACCATTAAATTTGATTGCAACTCCTGTATTCGGGCAAAGAAAGGTAAGAAACTCCAACTCCCAATCAATATTCTGTCTACAGTTCCAAATTATATCGCAAGATGTCGCTCGTAAATTTAGTGACGAATTATCCAACACCCCAACATTTAGGGGTGGTTGGTATTTTATGCTACCATGTAACTGTTTATTATACACACAATTTGTTTCTATAATTGATTTATATTATCTTAAATAGTATGTGAAATATAGAATACTATATGTTTTTACAGAATATCTCATAGTATTATATCTTACGTAGCCTTTTTTAACAGCGTAAATAACTGTCACCCCTATATTTGATACCAGTAGAATATCTCATATGTGTCGAAAGAACTCCAAAATGGCGGCGTCCTTGGTGCACGTTTTGCGTTTCGCTTCTCGACAATTCAGGGTAAATTCGTCCTTTCCCGCGGCAGTGGAAGGTAAGTTCTACTGTGTACTACTTCATTAGACAATAGAGAGTCTCTGGACTGTACATGATGGTAGCTACCTTGTATTTATAGAGAGATTCTTAGAAAATTATGGCCGCCAGGCAGCCGGCAGAACTTCACCTTCACCCCTCGTATAAAAATCATTTGTTAGAGATGTCAGGAGAGATCGAGAGTAACGCATTTTATCTGTGGCTATAGTACAATATACACAGAAGAGGATAAAATAAGCAAGATGATGCAGAATGCTAATATTATAGTCTTTTTCACGTTTCAGATAATTGCTGAAGAGTACTCGAGTAATAATTATTATTTTGGTCCAATGTTTTCTGACATTTCACATTTCTTCATATCATCAACTACACCAACTCCTTGAAAAGATTATTCATGTAATGTAATTACATAGACCAAGTTGTAATCTAGAAAGTAAGCACCTTACATCAGTTGATGCGACAGATGTGATGTCAGATGAGTCGCACCAACACTTAGGTTGAGTGCAGTGCTAACCCTAACTGTCAAACCTTGCAAATAATTACATAACATTTTATATGTTCCAACAGGAAGAAGATACTTGCTGTCCCCTGATGTTCTCCGGTATGACAACTACCTCAAGCAGTCCTCCATTATAGCAGACCAGATGGAAGGCAGAATAGGTATTGAATATGCTACAGTGTGTGGTTTGCATCTGTTTCATACAGTAGCCTGGTTACCTATTATAGCTCCTTCATCCTCTCTGCTTTCTCTCTGTATTTGCAGAGAGAACAAAGAGACTCCGCACTAGTCCGTAGCTAGAATAGGTTTGGTAGCCACTAGCCAGGTACCTGGGTCTGTCAGTTACAACAAACTTTGCAGAATTGTCGACAATGTTACTTGAAGTTGGTTCACAATTCTTGCTCTTTGTTTGCTCCAGACGTCTTCCACGGCGCCGTAGCAGACAAACTGAAGCGAGAGCTCCCCCTGGCAGAGAACGATGTGAAGCACATGCTGCACACCTGCAGAACTCAGGAGGACTTCAAACTGGCAGAACAGGCACTCAAAAGGTACTACATGTATTTTTTTTAATCAATTTTTTTTTCTTATATCATCTTCCATCTAGCATTAGCAGCTGGACTGTCAATGGTAGAAAGAACGCTGTGCGCTAAGGAAACGCATAACTGCGCATTTGAACTTTTGTCTATCGCTAATGGTAACTATTGCCTCAGGAAGTTTGTTCTTTAGTCCTACTGTTTTATCTTATATCTTACATAAATACTGAGCTAAAGTCTCACAAGGGACATCCTGCTCAGGAACATAAAGGTGCCCGCCCAAGTGCCGTTTGAAAGAAGGTTCTACTGTGTCTTGCAGTGTGATAGTAAGGGACAACCAGAGTGTTCTTGTTCTGGGATTTTGACTGGCGTGTCACCTGCCACACTTTTTTATGTTACCTAGGTTTGATTCATCTATATAGAGACTATAGCATAACCTGAGAAGAACTAAAGGGACTGGCCCTGGGATGTCTCTATTTCTCACAAATGTTCTTGTGGTCCTTTCCTCAGCTACCATATGCAGACCCAGCACATCAGAAGACGACACTTCCGTTATGGCCCTGTGCTGATGAGATGTTGCCAGCACCTGGGCCTGGAGGAGAAGGCTTTGGAGCTGGTTTCAGACCAGGTCTGTCTACTGGAAATTCAGTTATTTTTTACAGGGATTTGATTTTTTAATTAGGAATGGAAAGGTGGCTTTCGCAGTGTTTTATGTTTGTGATCAAAACAACAATGTAGCACAGGAACACAATTTTAGGGTCTCATGTCATGATTTGTGGTAGAGAGGCATCACGTTTTATATTAGCTTGACTAGGGTAAGTTTTGAACAGTCTTGCTTTGAATGCGGAATTGATGTCAGTGAAATATGCCACATTTGCTTGCAAATGTTATCTTCCAAGGTATGTGATAGTCATGAAAATGTTTTTATGTTTCCTCCCAGTCACTGCAGGACATTTTCCTGGACGTGACGACTTACAGCCTCCTCATGCACATGCTTTTCACCAGGGGTGACTACAAAGGTCTGTCAGCACTGAGATCTGAGATTTTCTGTAAAGTGTGATAATGTAACACTATACACAAGAGTCAGATGATTCAGATAGCATCCAGGTTCCATCTTTCACTTTCAGTGACTAAGAAAGTTGTGAGCTCTCCACTGCAGTGTATCTTTCATCATTCTCAGTCTTTGGTAAAAGCTAGTGGATGCTATCAGAAACGTCTCACTCCTTTGATAATTTATCCAGGTGCTAGATTTATTTTGTATGATATGTATGTAATGTTCTACCTGGATGGCTAACCTGTGTCCTGTAGTTTCTGCATGTTCTGCCAGAGGGCACTTATTTTCTGATTGACTTGTTTTCTGTCTGCAGGAGTGCTGCGGGTGTTTGAACTGATGCACAGTCGCTCCATCAGGGCGAATGCTAACTCATACAAGCTGGCCTTCGCTGCACTCTATAAACAGGTCAGTAGAAATATCTAAGTCTTCCAAAATAAGCCATAAACAAAATACATGTATCAAGTTAATTCAATTCTATTTTTACCAGTAAATAAAGAGGCAGGAGCATACTAGACAACTAAATACAACTGAATTGCTTTTTTAAAAGTACACATATGTATTTACACTCAGCTACAGATCAAATTCTAAGATCCAATATGTACTAGTATGTATAAATGAGAAACATGTGGTACCAAACACTAAGTTACAAGAACATCACTTCAACAAACATTATGTGTATGTTCATGTTCAGAGACACATAGCCAAACCTTAAAGTTGTATACCCTATACATACAATGGAAGAGGAATAGTGATAGTGATGGAATACTATTTACTGTTGATCTATATCTCAATCATCATCATTTCATCTGTTTTCCTAACCAAATCCAGTCTTTAAGGCACTAAACTGTATATTGATACCTACAGAACACCCCGGAGGCTTTTGCCAGATGTAAGGGTCTGTATGAAGGTGTTCACCAAGAGGACCTCACAGATGAAACGACTGGATTCATCATGGCTTTAGCTCTAAATCAGGTACGTTCAACCGTCTTTGCATGTGATGTTGCCCCACAGCATTACAGACAAGAGTTGCATTCATTAATGTGTCTGTCAACAAGCTGCTTTCAAATGGAAGATTAGATTGAAAAAAGAAAATATTCAGTGAATTAATGCTCCTGGGTTTGTACTCCGTAATCTTGTAATCTGTGAAGGTTTTAAAGATTATCCGGTATCCAACAGAACATTTTCTTTTGTAATTCCAGAATGACTTTGAGTACATGGTATCTGTCTACAACCGAGTAAAACCAAGGGACTGTAGATCCTGCCAGAGTCTCAATGTAAGTACTTGTATTCTGCATTTCTGCTTGTTTGTTTGCTTGTTTTGCATAACCAGTAAACTGCCTAAAGGTATAACATTAAAAATTCAGTAAGTCCAAGCTGCGCAAGACTGCACTGTCAGGTTTGATCAGTCATCTTGGGATGGACTCCCTCTTTTTGATGAGTGTGGTGGGTTCTTTCATGTGCTCAAGTTGTGGGTCTTCAGCTTTACATCCCATCTTTGAGCAGGTCCCTAACCAAAGCTAGGTACTCATTTTCACCTGCATTGATTGAGGAAATAGGTGTGAAGTTGATTTACCAGCCTGATGAAACAATTTCCTAATAGACAGCTTTCTTTTCCTTCTGTTCCTGTTGTTCCTACAGGTACTAGCACTTGCCAGACTGGAACAGTTTGACGACATGTTTGCAGCCTTGAAGAGCATCTTTGAAAGAGACGTCCCCACCTTTATTCCGAAGTGGGAGGTGTCTCAACAAACAGTACGTACAAGTCTGTCTTTAGTGGGGTTGTCAACATAAGAAGCTGTATAATGGCCCTTTAGGTATTGATGATTTGCCCAAATATACATGTAACAGACTGCAAATCTTGTTTGAATTGATGTTTGTTTGACTTTTACCTTCTGCCTCATCTTGTTATAAGAGAATCTGTAATGTATTTCTGTTCCGTCCCAGATGACCACCATCAGACAGTTACTGGAGGAAAAACGGCCTGAGATGGTCCAAGAATTGGAGGTAAAGCTCTCCTTGTCCGGAGCTAGAAGCCCAAAGTACTGTTAAAACAATATTTTACATGTGCATATGTAGGTGACTGGCTGAGGTTGTATTTTTTAGTAGTCAAGAGACTTAAGTTTACAAGTAAGGTGAAGAAGTGATGCATTACAGGCTAAAGTAAAATTATTGACAAACTTTTGAAAAACTTTGACAGCAGTGTACCTTTAGTAAATAGTATCAACATAACAATGAACCATTTAAAACATGTGGCAACTGTTTTGCCCAGGATGTGTACGACAGTCTGGAAGTTGGTACCCTTGTCTGTAGACGTAGAGGTCTGAGGAGGAGATACAAAATACAACCAGAGTACCTTCTGAACAGTAAAATAGTTGTTGTTCGTATCCTTCCTTTTTTTGGAGACGATGGATCTCGCGCCTTGGATCAGTTCATACAAAATAGTACATACAAAACAATGACCCATCTTTAAAACATTTGTCTGCTGTTCTCCCCAGGATGTGTACGACAGTCTGAAGGCAGGAGGCCACCTGGTGCCCCTGTCTGTGGAGGCCATGCTGATGGAACCCCCTCCCCCCACCACCACCCGCCGCGCCTCACCAGGACTCAGGAGGTCCTTCCAACGGTCCAGAAGAGCAAACACACATGTATAGACAGATGTACAATGTACATGTATGTCAATGGCTGGGTGATCCTTAATATGTAGAGATGGCCAATAGCACAAGTTCTTGACCATTTGAGTATGTAAATGCAAGCATATGTTAGTAAAATGTCCTCAGTACAGTCAAAACTGCCCACGAAAACAAATCAGGGGGCTAATAAAATCTGGAATACGTCGGCAGGTGGTCACTGTAGATTAATTTCTTGTGTTAATTGTAAAATTATGTAAGGTATCAAGGAAAAGTGGTCACAATGGTCAGGTGATCCTTATGTGAAGGTGGTCACTTGTACATGTTTTACTGTACATGTGTAGAGCACTCAAGAGAGATACATTTTTTCTGTTGTTCTGTCTAGGATGGGAATACTGAGACACATCTTTTATGACATCAGAACTATTGTAAGCTTAGGGACTACCGAGTTATTCCAACTTTCACTACAAGGAATAGTATCTTAAATGTGACCTTTTTAAGGGTCCAACATGATGAAAATATTGTGACTGTTTTTGACATATGTCTGAAACATTCTGGTGGGACATCTGAGTTGTATGTGTATCAAAAAGGGTGTGGAAGTGTTTAAATGAGAGCTGGCCTATTTCATCATTTAATAACATAACTGTGAACTCATTTTATGTGTCTGGGACCTAATTAATAAATTACAGATTATGTTTCTTAGAACCTTAATGGATCAGAATAATGATGCTGTCAAATACTGTACATTACACAACATTGAAAAATTCAGATTGTAGTAGGCGATGTTGCTTATAATGTGGGTATCAGATACATATATAACAACGTATAACAACTGATGTTCCCAAAGGTGTACAGTACAAAATATACAATGTTTCCTCCAAGTGAAAATAGTAAGAGCATGGAACAATGTGATATTCATATATTATCTTTCTCTTCACTTCCTAATGAGTAAAGTAGGTTATTTACTAGAGGTAACGTGCAAAACAAATATGTGATTTTTTTAAAATATCATACCAGGAATACACGCATCTCTTAATCTACATGAACATGTATATTAAAAGCTCTGTATCATATGTGCAGAAAGGTCTATGACCTTTACTTTCTATTATTAAAATAGATACAATGTATAATTGATATATCCATGTAATAAGAATTGGTACTTTTTTTAATGTCTCCATTGCTTTGAGTAACTATCTAGAACAGTACTGCCGTAGATCAACAGACTACTAGTATTTCTTGAATTCTAAGAAATTGATCAGTGCATACACATTTACATCTTATTCATTGAAGTAGCAGTCAGCAGTCAAGTTATAAAATCAGAAAAAAAATTGAGTTTGTGGGTCAAAGTAATCCAGCAAAGAATTGCCTTTTCATGCTCATTTCATGTAACATTGACATCCTAGTTTAGATACAGCTACTAGAAATGTGAACTGTGCAGATGCTTAATTCCATCTCTACAACTGGATAAATTACAAAGATAACTCCTTAATGTTTCGAGTGACATCCATCGCTCTTCTTCAGCATCACCAATGAACTAATAACAGAACTAGTCAACAATCATATAACATCTGTGTCCATAATATCACCAGGGTCCATAATATCGGCACCTTGAGAAATAGTGTGCTTTAAGATATTTTTACTGCAACATACTTTTGGTATGCACTCCTTCACACATCAAATGTACATACCTAGGGTATGTTGCAGTAAAAATATTTTTAAGCACACTACTTCTCAAGGTGACGATCTTATGGACCCTGGTGATATTATGGACACAGATGTTATGAGCTACCTGAGCAAGAGTTCTGGAGAAACAAGTCCTTGGATTGAACAGGGTCATTGATCAAGGACTTGCATAATTTGTTAAATCACAGATCATATTACATTTGGAAACATGACACCAATAAAAGAAAGTGAATCACTTCAGTCTAATGTCATTTGAAGTGATTTCTCAGTAAACCACTTTCTCCCTTTTATATAAAATGGTAACAGGAGAATTTATCATATGACAGAGTGATCATGAGAGAGAGTGCATTTCAACAACATGACGCAATGAAAAGAACGCATCAGACCATAACGACATGTCAGCCCTATTTCGTGCAATCGAGTTTGCTTGCCGACAAAATGCAATATCTACACCTTTTTGAAGCCAAAAATTTTGTAAAACTATTATGTGTGCTATTAGAATCTTACAACTGGGGGATACTTTCGTGATCAGCGATGACCTTTGTTTGCGCGGAAAGGTCATATCGTTTCGATGCGGTGGAAGTTGGGGTTAGCCGAATATGACGTCACAATAAATCTATGGAGTCCCGACACAGACAGACGGACGGGTAGAAAAAGTCTCCAAATTTGTGGACAAACTCAGAGACTTTGGTTTCGCCTCGGTCAGAATGGATTCGGAGGATGAGTATGTAATGGACGATGTGGACGACGAGGAAGAGGATGACCTTGGAGACGAAGACTATGAGAATTTTGACTTGGGAATGGAACCCGAGCCCTTATCGTCAGCGGCTCAGGGTTCCAGCAGGGACGACGAACTGGACGATTTTCCATACGAAGTCCTGAGTCCAGAACTGATTGTTCAACACATGGTAGACTGCATCAAAGAAGTGAACACAGTTGTGCAGGTAATGTTGTCCCAAAGCGCGATTTTTGCCCGCGTTTCTCAATGAATCGACCGCAGAACAGAAGGGGGAAAATGTTGGGGTCCAAAATGGCCGCCATATTTTTGGTGGGTCCATCCAGTATCTGCAAACGTAAATAAAACACACACTGGCGCGCATCGTGCTCCTGGCGAGATTGGCACGCCGTAAAACTCTGCTGTTTTATCACGGAATGTACAAGAAATGGCTGCTGTGTTGATGTTTTGTTGACAACTTTGATGACTCTATCATTTCAGACCAAAAAAAAACATCCTAAAATCTCACCGACTTCACGACTCCTTTCACGCATCCTGCACAAGGAGGTTACAATTTACATTTAGTGGCACTTTGTCTATTAACCAGGCCGATGTCTTCTAGTCAGTCTCTATGACCTATAAACTTTCCAGGTGTCATGTCAGCTTATAATACCTCAATGAAAATGATAAATCTGACTTGACAGGTCTCTACAATCCATAGTGCACCTTGCATAATCGGATTATTGTGAAGCTAGAAATAGAATAGAAACGAACGCACACACTTTGGGCAAGTGTTCAGAAATGGAAAAGTGACTTGCAGGAAAAAAAAACATGCAACTTACTCTATAGTGACAGTGTAGTATTTAATTACATAGCTCATATGAGGTTAGTTCCTCTGTTGTTTGGCATATGTATGTAGGCTTCTGAAAAACGATTGGCAACATCTGGATTCACATAGTATAATGACATAACAGATGTAGTTGTACTTCACAATGGAAACAGAGTGCAAGTTCAAGTTGAAGGTACAAAGTACATGTTTGCACTGTCAAGCTGAACTGAAGAAACAGAAGTGCCTTATATGTGCCATGACAACCATGGAGATCAGGTTGTATCAGAAATTGACCATATATGGTACCTTGCACTGCTGCCTCTGTATGTCTACATGCAGGTAGTGGGTAATCAAATGCTTGTCAAGGTTTCGTGGGATGGACTGAAAAGTCATTTCTGAAGATTGCCCATCCACCCTGCTGTCTAACCCCATAACCAATACAAATTTGGTACCTTAGCAGGCTGAAAGCTATACTATTACTAAGTTTTTTGTACAGTTACCCCTTTTTTGGTGTGTGCAACCTTGTACACCCTTAATTATATTTTTCAAAGTACTTTGCCATATGTTAGGTGCTGCACAAAAAAGTTTTCATGTTGAATTTTGAGTATTGTAATTTATTTAGAATTATCCTCAATGCAAACCTGATACCAAACATTCATCATTAGAACATGGCAACCTTTTAACATCATCAGGTTTCTTCAAAAGGAATGGCTGTTTCCTGAAACGTATATATACATACTCTTGTAAATCAGGTAGTTTACATGTAGTTGATTCCTCTGATTTATCAAAATAATTGAGTCTTCCAATAGCTCAAAGTTGCACGTGTTCTCAGATAGAGGGAGGAAGTGCAGTAGTTTGGCTACTGTAAGTCAAACAACCACTGAACTTTGGATACCAGGGTGAACCAGTCAGAGGTATAAATGATAATGACTCATTGTTAAAGCTACTGGCGCACAGGATACTGGATGTCTGGACATTGAGTGGTTGGACTGGGGACAGGTCACTAATGTATTAGTCAGCTATCAATCTGGATTGGAAAAGTATGCTCTTAGAGGAGCACTCAAAGTCAAATCCCAACATGTAATAATATGATTCCACAATGTTTGGCTCTGCCTGTATCATTCTGACATACCAGGTAATAAAGTTAACATTGTTTCATATAGTTCTACAGGGTTTGTTTGACAGGTTTTCTAAGATTCGACGAATCACTGTCCTAATAGGGCTATGGAAGACCAAGAACTACACATGAAAAATGATGATGGCCAAATCAGCAAGCAAGCAATGATATGTGCAGGCCTGATTTGTGCATGGGCCATAGGGGCAGGGCCATCAACATTCTCAAACCCTGGTAAAGAATGTTGATGTAGGGAAAGTTGTATGTCAGGCTTCAATTGTCAATGGTCTACAAAAGGAACAGTAACTTGAGTAAGCTTGGTGCAGCTTTTCGGATGCATGGGCGCAAAACAACTGAAGTAAACAGAGCCATGACCTCTCTGTGACCCTGACTCATGAATATTTGTTTACCTCAGGCTGATCAGCTGTCCCATTGTGATATGTTGTTTATCTACTTTCTGTTATGACAGTCTCCAGTTCATTCATCAGATTTGTATTAACGGTACACATGAAAGTACAGCATGCTTAATCAGCAATGTGAAAATCAACATACTTGTTATATCACCAAACAGTAACACAACATAATCCTTGGATCACTTATAGTATAAGTTATACAACTACAATACGTTCCTCCTAGAGGACAAAGGTATTATGCCAAATGTTCCTGAAATGATATAGGGTGTGGCAGTAAGTTTTGTGGCATATCCACTGGGAACACAATGACAAAATGTTACAATGTTAGCTGATATCAGGCCATTGTTTGTTCTTTTTAGTAGTTTCACTAAGTTTTAGTTTAACCTGCTGCCCAGATATGGCCTTGTACTTGTGTAGTCAACTGAGTCAAGGCTTTTGTTTAAAATGTATGGTAAATGTCAGAATAGCCAACATTCATGCAGATATATTTATACACACTCACACAGCCTTTTTAGACACATTTGTAATTAATGTAAATCCATTTTAAGGTTTTATGAATTTGAAGAAATGTGGTGAGTCTCTTTTGCATGCTAAGTACTTTAAATCCTTAAATGTTTCCAGCAGTTTTATTTTTAAGGTGACCTCTCACCGTGAATCCATGACACAGCAAATATGCATCTTAAGTCCATTACTACTGAACTACAGAGTTGTATTAACCACAAACTTGAAACGCTACAAAAAAACTTTTCTCTCGGCCTTCCACCATGAAGTGAAGATATAAAAATAAATGAATTTACAGTAGAAAGATTTGTCTCCTGTTTCATGTACCTATGGGGAAAAGTAGGTTAAAGGTTAGGAAAGCATTGCCTGTCCTCATATTATAACCTTTGTCACAGTAGTGGTAGTGCTACTGCTGTTTTCAACACATGATTAAAATGCTTTGTTTAACAGGAGAGTTTAGAGAAATGATAGTTCCAGGTATCCTGATGAAATATGTAGTCATGCCTTGTCATATCTGTGTTTGTACAGATGTAGTAGTGGTTTGCTGAAGATGATGTAATGGTTGGTTTAGACGTTGCAATTAATTCTTAATACTAGTACATGTAGTATCATACATGCTTTCTTCTTCACATGCAATTGAAATAGTATACCACTGTTACCAGTGCATGAAATGGATTATAATGCAGTTTTAGCAGGAAGAATTGTCCTACATTGTGGTCCATGCTCGGATATTTGAGCTGTTGAATGCTCCAAGAGGGAGAAATATTCTAGCCTAGATGCCATCTTGTCTAGCTTTACATTACAGGCATTGCAGGGAGTGTCCTCAGAGTCAGAGTAGGCTTAACACTAACCTAACCACGATGTCAATCAAGCTTTGGACATATGACAAGGGAAATTTGGCACTCTGTTTTATCGACCTACTTACATAATCAGTCCTGATGCTCACCTCGCAAATAAACAGAATGAACATAAACAGTAAGGTATGGGACATTTTTTGTTAAGGGTGATAGACAATCTTTCCTGTAATATACAGTATAATAAAGGAACTAAAGTAAAGTAACAACATAGATATTAAAGAGCAAACTTTTTTATAGGTTTATAATTGCTTTAAAACATTGTGAAGTTATGTTTTGTAATGCATCAGCTGAACTGCAGCCTAGTTTTCCATGTCTATTGCTGTTGCAATTTCAATAAAGAATTTATATCATCACCTAAAGACATTTTCTACATTCATTTTAAGTAAGGCATTCTAATTGACCTGCCTGTTTTGCAGTGTTTTTGGTTGCAACAAGCACTGGCACTTGATTGACATAAATTTCAATTTTCAATCTGTCCAGATAATCATTGGTCCCGTTTGCTGTACAGGGATAAGCAGGAAGCAAGCAGTTCCCTCCAATAAAAGGAAATGTCATCTGTCAACAGTGTGCAGTCGCATGGATCCTTTATTGACCTTGACTTTGTCCTTTTCACCGCTGCCATGGTTATCCCCAGGTAGCATCTTTCACCCCCCCCTCCCTTCATGAGCCAGAGCTACGTTATGCTCTTGTAGATGACCGAAAAGATTATGACCAAGATGTGACAAAGGATCACGATGTGTAAAACACCCCATTATCAGTGGGTGTCATCCCGCTTGCTGATACCTTTAGTCTTAAGAGCGTAAAACACACTGAACCGTCCCGGTTACTGCACAGGCAGATAAATTATTCAGAGGTTCGGCAATGATTGAATGGGTTAAAGGCAAGTGTATTCCTCTTCGGACACCCAGTATTCTACAGATCAATATTGTGTATCAGAAACTAAGAGATATATTTATGATAAACTCAAGTATCTATATCATTATCAGCCTATGTATATCTTCATCCATAAGAATATTGCACCATTCCACAATATTTAGTCTAGGCAAATGTAGCATTTATTACCTTCGCCAAGAAGGTTATGTTTTCAGCGGCGTTCGTGTATGTGTGTGTGTGTCTGTCTGTCTGTCTGTCAACACGATAACTTGAGAAGGTCTTGATGGATTGTCTTGATACTTGGTAGGTGGGTAGGTCTTGATGAGACCTCAAAATGATTAGATTTTGGGCCACCTGGCGGCTTGTCATGGTACTGCAGCAGAACTTCCGGTTTTGATATCTCAAGATCCAGACATGCTAGGGTGACGAAATTTAGATGGTAGATAGCTCTTGTGCTGGGGATAAAGTGACATGAGTTTGAGCCCCCTAGTTGCTTGCTCTAGAACTGCAGGGGGGGTTTAATGGACATGTTTAAAGGGGGATAACTCAAGAACCGATGGATGGATCATCATGATTTTTGGTATGTAGGTAGCTTGAGTGATGCTTGACATAATGATATTACAATTATGCAAATATGGATGTAATTTGCATAATTAATGAGGAAATTCTATTTATCAGCTGCATTCCATAATAGGAAGTTCAAGCTTGTGACATATGTTATTAAGAATGAGAGAAACACAGGCAGATATCGATTATGCAAATGAAGACTTAATTTGCATAATTAATGAGAAAATATTATAATTGCATAGTGGTAACTGCCTGGAATTTTATACTTGGGGTGTTTGAAAGTTAAGTTAAGGTGAACATAATTAAACATAACTTATTCAAATAAGCACCTCATTTACATAATTTATGAGAAAATTTCATCATGGCATTCTTTGTTAAGATAAGACTGTCTTTTGGTGGAGAATATGATCAACAGATATATTTCATGCAAATGAGGATCTTATTTGCATAATTAGGGGGATTAATATATAATTTCTTAATCATAAAAGCTAACATCATTTGGCGAAGGTATGAGATCGTGGAACTCTAGTTCTTACTTTTTCAATCTTGACAAGTTGCACCATCTATTCATATTTTGTTACATGTAAGTTATGTAATTTTAGAAATCAGATGGCTGTCAAGGGGATGTGATCTTAGATAATAATTAGTCATTTAGTCATTGTAGTTTGTTTTTTCAAAAGGTCCTTCACGTGAAAAGTAGGTGTGCTGGTAGATCATTAATGTATGTGAAAAGATTCTGAAGCAAACGAAGGTAGCTCTTATTTAAGCTGATTGACCAATTTGCAAGATTTTTGTCATCCATGCATATTCATTTCCTGCATCTTCGTATTATGTACTGTATATTTTTAGGTTTGCACAACTCTCTAATGGGTGCTACAATCTTTTATTATGCATATCCTATTGTCATTAATGATTTTATTCAAGACACCTGGGAAGACATGTGAGTTCAAATTACACATGTGGCTAAAAGCCTGACAGACAAAAAAAAAGTGTGCGTAAATTGTTTCCCTCATAGGATGTTAAAAGTTACAAATCTCCAAGCAGATGTAAGGATTAATATCATTCTTTGCAACATTTGCACTTTTACTTTTAGTATTGCATTTCTAATGGCCTTATTTTAGGGAGTCAGATGCAAGTTTTCTTGATGACCTTTTGCTAAAATTTTACGTAAAAACATCTTGAGAATCAACAAAAGAAATCTTTGGGGTCTAACTCTAAGAAATGGTTCAAAATATGATACTCAACTCAAATTTGCCAGACTCTGATCATGACTGTTGTTCTTTCTGGGATTTCAAATTAATTGTTTTTTTTTTTCAACTTTCAGATTCCCCCAACGGCCACGCGTATTCTGCTGAACCACTTCAAGTGGGACAAGGAGAAACTCATGGAAAGGTAAGACTTAACGTCACAAAACCCACAGATTACAGAGTAAGTCACTCAGTCACAGTGGAATCTTTCATCTTCCACTGTTATGCTGTAGATAAATTTATATAAAAAGAATATCTTAATATTCTAAGAGTAAGCATTTAGATTACATTACAATGGTTTTCATTGTCATTTTTTATACTTGCCTTTGGGAATTTGCAATAAACTTTATCATCCAGTATATTTTCATATTTGAGACTACGGTAGCTCTATAAGTAGGTTGGAAGGAAAAATCATTGCTGTAACGTGAATGACGGAATACAAGGCAGACTCCCATGTGTACTCTTGTGAGTGCAGACAAGAGCAGTCATTAGCGGATGTGACTTGTCTCATCCGTGGTCAGAGGTTAATGCTTCATTTCTCTGCCATGAAAGCCCAGACTGTCCACAGGGAGCTACCATCCATCGAATGGTACATGAAGAGGAACACAATAAAAGGCATTACATAAAATCTATAGAAAGAATATGGATTGGACTTTGCTAAGCAAGCAGTAATTTCAATTTTGCTGAGTCCCTGCTCATTTAACCACCTGTAGACAAAAAGACAACCACTTTCTAAGTCCCTTGAAATTTTCAAAATTGGAGTTGGAGTGTGTGACAAAACTCCGGACGTTATGTCAGCCTATACCAGGCTTTAGAAGTGGATGGAAAGAGTAGAAATTGGCTAAATAGACAGATAACATGTCAGGATTTGGTAAGCTAAAGGAGAACAGTTTGCCGCTCCAATTTCTACTCTTTCCAGCTGCTTCTAAAGTCTCGTAGAGGGTCTAATTAATATAACCTCGTGTACTTGTATCTGTTTTCACTCTTTTCAATACCCAACCCTCTTTCTCCCAGATACTTTGATGGGAACCAGGAAAAGTTGTTCAGTGAGGCCCACATCATCAGTCCCCATAGGAAAGCCAAGTCCAGACCCAAGGTAACCTCCAGACATCAACATTGTGAACCTGTACCATCGTTGTACTGACTAGACTGTGCTTTGTGTTTTGTGCCGTCGTCTTGCATTTATTTTGTGTGCACTACCTCTAACCTGTACAGTTTGGTATTGTCCCTATTACACTAGCTGTTAATCATGCTTGATTTTCTTTGCAGACTCCCGGTCATGGCTCAAACAGCCAGCTCGGCGCTGTGAGTTGCCTAGACACAATTTTGCCTTAATCCTGACAGCCTATGATACAAACAGGTCGCTTAGTAGGCACCATTTCCACTAGACAGCAATCACTGAGTGACTGTTTAGCAACCAAAATTAAATTTGTGTAACCCTTGATTGGAATCCAATTTTTTTTTTATTTGCAGAATGCAAAAGTAGGATTTTTTTTTAAAGACAGCAACATACTCATTGTCTGTGCAAACAGTGTTGATATCCAGTGGAAAGGGGATGAAAACAGAGTTACCACAAAATACAATCTTTCCAACGGTTTTGACTGAAAGAAATAAAAAAAAAACACGTTTTATGCACATTATGAAAGAAAAAATAAATTTGGAAATGGACATTAGAAATCTAAAGAACCAATTCTGTTACACATTTTCTCACAAGACTTTTCAGCTTCGTGCTACAGTAAATGCCTTGTTTTTTTCATGGGCTGTCTCAAGTGTGGGCATCAGGTCATGCAGTCTAGCTTCTAGTTGCATGGAAAAAGTTGTCTTTTCAACGTTTTGGTGGATATTATAATTATCACAGTGCACTTACCATTCTAGCTTGGGTGTGAAGTGTTTGCCACAAGTCGATTCCTTAGCTGTAATTTCACATGATGTAAAGTAAAGCTTTGTGCTTCCCTTTTTTCACCATGGATCATTTTACATAACGTGTATGTAGAAAATAAGAACAAGAATACACACACACACAAACTCTCTGGCTGTTGATTAGGTGAATTTAGTAACAGTTACAAAAACAAGAAATTGGAGATTTCAAACCTCCATGAAGTATTTGGAGTTTGAATGTGAATTTATTGGCACAACTTTTAGCAAGATAGAGAATGTTTGAAATTCTATTTGCATTTTCCCATTGGCTCCTGGCCAACAGACTTTAAGCCAACTTCCGGCTGGCTCCAGGCCAGCTTCTGGGACCTAACCTCCTGTGTCTGACCTTTTGTGATCTGTTGTTTTTCTCACACCCATATGCTGTCACTGAACTGTCCACTGACACACAAGCAACACGCACACATGCACGCACACACACGCATGCATGCACACACACACACACACACATTCACACCCCCAAAACAATTCCTCTGTACCTGTAGGCAATTAGGCAAACTGTACGGACACACATACACACAAACATACACAAAACAATACATACGTACCCAGAAGCAATTACATGTAGGTGAACTGTATGGAAACACAAGCAAACACACAAACACATACTCAAAACAGTACATCCATAGGTGAACTGTTTTAACACACAAGCAAACACACCCGTACCCAGCTGTTATTACATGTATCTAATTAGGTGCACAGGTCCAGTATTGGATTTCGAGCCCTTTACAATGCCCACAGACTTACCCAGGTTTGCGTGTCCACAGATGAACACGAGATCGTCGACGGCGCTGGCTAACCAGGAGATGCTGTGTGAGATCTGCCTGATCACCATGCCGCAGTCCTACATGACCGGGCTGGAGTGCGGACACAGGTTCTGCATCTCCTGCTGGAACGAATACCTCACCACCAAAATCATGGACGAGGGCATGGGACAGGTACCACATGTCTTAAGCCTGTTGTTAATGTTTGTTCTAGCTAGTGTCCATCTTTTGATGGAGTTATGCTGCTAATGACAGGGGTCGTGTGGCATAATGGTAGCATCTTTGGCCCGGAACCAAGATGTCCCGGGCTCGAACCCCACCCTGGTCACCGATCTTGTGCCCTTGGGAAAGGCACTTTACACGATTTTCCTCACTTCACTCGGGTGCAAATGAGTACCTAGCTTCGGCTAGGGATGTCCCTTGGATAGGACGTTAAATGGAGGTCCCATGTTTAGGGAGATCCACACCCCACGCACCTTAAAGAACCCACCACATCTTTCGAAAAAGAGTAGGGGCATGCCCCGGTGTGCGATGGTCCAAATACCTGTCTGATTATTCGCTACGGACTCCACGAAGAGTAGTGTGAAATTCACACTAATGGAGATCCTAAACAAACAAACAAACAAACATGACAGACAAAAATTTTGCCCAATCAAAGGTTACACACTCTGATTACTTTACTAGTATATATCCTTTCCCAAAGTTATGAATTGAATGTTTGATGGATAGATTGATCTGAAAAACAATGTCAAAGGTATGACTGTGTTTCTATGATTTATTCTTTACAGACAATATCGTGTGCAGCCCATGGTTGTGACATTCTAGTAGATGATGCCACTGTTATGTAAGTACAATGTCCATGCATTCAAGCCATCAATGTCCAGTTTATTCTGGCTGTGGATTTGTTAAATCTTAGGTGATGCATTTTGTAGATGTATGTTTAAAATTAAAGCAAGCCTGAAATGTAGCCATTTACTCAGATGATTACTTTTTCCCTACAGGAGGCTTATACAAGATTCCAAAGTGAAATTGAAGTACCAGCACTTGATAACCAATAGTTTTGTGGAGGTAAGTCTTGCTACACATCTCAAGTTATAAAGATTAAAAGTTACTAGTTTGCATGGATGTTACGAATGTTGAGACTAGTGCTAGTATACAACAGTACCCATCTATAATGCTATCATGTTACAGTCACCAAGCAATGAAAAACAACCACAAAAACCACCCTAGAACCAACCAGTTAGTAGTGGGGTCGTGTGGCGCAGCGGCAGCGTTCTCGACTCGGAACCAGAGGCCCCGGGTTCGAGTCCTGACATGCCACCGATCTTGTGCCCTTGGGAAAGGCACTTTACACGACTTTCCTCACTTCGCTCAGGTGTAAATGAGTATTGTACTGTCCCTGTGTTGGTGTCGGCATTAATATAAGTTGAAAAAACTTGAGTGTGTCGTCACCACGTCTTGTGATTACATGTTTCGGAATAAAAAAATAAAAAATAAAAAAAAAACAGCTAGTAATACACAAGGGGCAAGTTCAGCAACCTAAACTAACAAAGATAGGAATGGAAACTCCATTAGGAACATACATAAAGCATGCGCAGCATATTTGCTGACAGCTGTACTTGACTTACAGTGTGCATGTAAGGCCTTGGAAAAAAAATGTTGTATTTCCTGTTTCCCAACCGACCGTAAAAAAAACTGCCGACCCTAGACTTTTTTGGGGGGTGGACCTCAATTTTTCAAGCTGATCAACCTCTTCTAGCTCCATGATCTGACGCCTGAGTAATAAAATGTTGTAGAATTGGTTTTCTAACATTGACATTGAAAATAAAAGTGTCCTCTTGCAAGTTTTACTTTGTTAAACTGTATTGTATACTAGTAACTTGGACCCCTTTATAGATATCACTGAAGTCTGAAAAAAAATAGAAAAAAAAAGATAATCATTACCTTCCGACCCTAATTTTTCCTGGGCGTAAGGTTGCCTAGTCAGGACTCAGGAGTGTGTGATATAGGATGGAAACTCCATTAGGAGCATACATAAAGCATGCTCAGCATATTTGTTGTACTTGACTTAAACAGTGTACTGCATGTAAGGTTTCCTAGTCAGGAGTGTGATATAGTTTTCCATCTGTTCCCTTGCAGTGCCACAGATTAATGAAGTGGTGCCCTGCCCCAGACTGTAAATACGCCATCAGGGTGCAGTACGTGGATGCAAAGCCTGTAACATGTGCCTGTGGACACAGTTTCTGGTAAGGCCCCACATTTCTTATTATATCAGATTGAAGTATCAATATCAATGGTTTATTTTGCATTAAAACGCTACAACACTGTCCCAAATATGGCAGCCAGAGGCTGAATTGACATTGGGGCATCACATTAATAGTATAAAACGTCATATTAAGCGAGTAAAATAGAACTAAACCATTTATTTACAATGTAAAAAATGTATATAAAATATTGTCAACGACGTTTCAAGTGCAAATTAATATCATAGCAGATAACAAAACAGACGGACACTGGTAACACTAAAATAAGTCTTAGGTTAAAAAAAAGTGACAGTGTTACATATTAAGCAGGCGGATCATGAAAGGAAGGGCACTATTCTGATAACGATCAGTTCTGCTGCGAGGAGGGTTCAGTTCAGTACAGTAACTGATATTACCTTACCTGTCATATGGTAGTATTGCCTTAATTTTTTTTTTCAACAAAGTACATTTGTCAACAGTGTTTGCCTGTCATCAAGAATTTAGTTACACAAGTGAAGTTGTGACCTACTATCCATAGTCATGGTTTAGATTTGGACATGTTTGCTTCATCCAGGCTCTTGAGCTTTTTGGAACTAGAAGCCAGCCTCTTAAAACGAAAATGAAAAACTTCAAAGCCCTTCAAGTAGTCTTATAATATTCTCACATGTTTCTGCTGTCTTCCCAAATATGTCAATGTACTGAAATATTATATTTCTGTTTTCAAATTGCCTATACCATATAGAATTTTGTAATGAGTAATGTGTTTTCTTCCTATAGTTTCAGTTGCTCTGAAGACTGGCATGATCCCGTGAAGTGTTCAGTAAGTAGACTTGTTGTTTCTCGTGTTCAGATATCTCGGATACAAACCACTGTAATGCAATGAACATCATGCTTTTTTTCATTCAGTTGTGTGATTTTGCATGATCACTTGTAACGTGAATGACAACATCCAAATGTAGAAATATGCATTCCAAATTCTACCACTGTGGGTGACTACTACATGCTATGTGATTGTTTCCATTTGTTGTACAAACTTTGCTCCTCTCGTCTGACAGTGGCTGAAGAAGTGGAAGAAGAAGTGTGATGATGACTCAGAGACGTCAAATTGGATAGCAGCCAACACCAAGGTTTGACCTGTTCTCCCTCAGTCTGTACTCTATATGAATATTGTCGTGTGTGCAAATATGAAGATGCCTTTTTTGTCTGTGGGTCAGCAGTTACCAGCTGAGTCTTCCTGTGCTGACCTAGTAATGACTAAGTCTTGTTTCATTGCCAATAAATACAAATACAAGCTGTTTATTACGTGAGAGCAGCACTGACAGCCTCCACCAGATGCTAAACTGGAAACACCTGACTGAAAGAAGATTTGAACATGTGTGTGTAACAGTATTTAAATGTCTGAATGGCTTGATGCCCACATACCTATCCTCTACTTTCTTGCACAATTATAATCTTCATACATATCACACCAGACAGACTACTAAACTACACTTACCAAAATACAATACCTCAACTGGTCAGCGAGCCTTCGCTTACACGGGTGCAAAGTACTTCAATAGACTACCAGGAGAAGTACGGCAGATTCAAACTTTAAAACACTTCAAGGCAGCTTTAAAGACGACCTCTGACCTCCAATCATTTTGAACGGAAATCGATTTACGTTGATTATGATTATGATTTGAAGTTATGTTTTCTTGTAAATTCCCTCAGTTCATGTTGAACTTCGTATTATTCATTTATTTATGTATAACCTCCAGTTATACTGATTTCATTTACATCTTTTGTTATGTACTTTGTATAATTTATTATTCTTTTACTTATTGTACCCCCCTGGGCCTCCTTGGAAATCAGCTTTGGCTGAAGGAGCTACCCAGGTGTCTTTGAAGATTAAATAAATATTGAAACGACCACTTGGCACTGAATTAAGTCAGTGGGGGGGGGAGTATGGCTAATTAAGCTAGGAGATCTGATCATGGTTTTGAAGACTTGTGGGTTGTATGCAGGAGGAAAACACCTGTCAGGGTTATAGTTCCATAATTTTGCAGTCTGCAGAAAGAAGTTGTTGCTACACATGCTTACATTAACATGTTTTCAACCTGTTAAAAGTTAAAACTTTTGGTTCAACACAAAAAATTCTCTCACCTAGAGCTTTCGACCAGTCACTCTGGTCTTCCTCAGTAGACCTTCTTCAAAGAAGCCACGTGACAGGCTTCACTGGGTCAGTCTACTGAGGAAGACCAGAGTGACTGGTCGAAGGCTCTAGGTGAGAGAATTTTTTGTGTTGGACCAAAAGTTTTAACTTTAAACATGTAACTACCAACAACAGATGAACCTTCATGATAGTATGTTTTCAACCTTTATTGTGCATCAGGAGTGTCCGAAGTGTCACGTGACGATTGAGAAGGACGGGGGGTGTAACCACATGGTGTGTCGGAACCAGAACTGCAAGGCCGACTTCTGCTGGGTCTGCCTCGGGCCGTGGGAGCCTCACGGATCGTCATGGTGAGTCACGCAAGGCACGGGGATAGACGAAAAGGAGCCTTTTCATCTGTTTGATTATTTTGTTTTGTTACAGTCATTTTATTTTAATCAGAAAAGCCCGTATGTAAAAAAAATACAACCTTATACAACAACATGACTAAGGCCAAACCAATTCAATTTGCTGGTTCTTGGATTTAAAAGAGTAATACAAAGTCAACATGAAAACTTTGAGTCTTTGTGTACACAGCTTTAGGGAATGAATGTAGCCAGATCAAAGTTTTCCTCCTAGCCCTCTGTTCTCATCTTGTCCTTTTGCTAAATTTTTGAATAGACCAAAAAGAACCTTTTCTTTGTCCACGTATTTCAATCAGAAATACTGCATGAAAACTGCATGAAAACATGTGACCTAAAGGCCAGACCAATTCAATTTGCTGGTTGTTGGATTTAAAAGAGTAATGATGGACTGCAAAATCAACATGAAAACAGACTCTACGTGTATACAGCTTTAGGGAATGAATGTAGCCAGATCAAAGTTTGCCTCTTATCCCTCTATTCTCATCATGTCCTTTTGCTAAATTTTTGCCAAGAAATGTCATCAGAGAACCAAGAAGACAAATCAATAAACAGGATTGCAAATTGACGAGTGTGAAACATTTTTGTATTTTTGAGTTAATAAGGTTTTTAATGTTTGTTACATATTCTTGTTACATGTTCTTGTCTGTTGGATAGAAATAGCCATGGACACAAAGACTTAACTGCTGTAATCCTTCCCCATCTGTATAGGTACAACTGTAACCGTTATGACGAGGAAGAGGCCAAGGCGGCCCGGGATGCTCAGGAGGTAAGTGTAAGTCTACATTGCTTTTATCACTTTACTAGATATGTACCTGTGTCTTGTCCGGTTACAGTGATCCCTATGTTCAGACACCTATGTTCCTACAAATCAAAGGGTGTTCCAACATCAATAATGCTAGCCCTAGTTCGTTAAACTCGGGTGAAAATGAGTACCTAGCTTCGGTTAGGGATGTCTTATCAGATGGGATGTAAAGCTGGAGGTCCTATGTTTGAGGAAAACCACACTTCAAGAAAATTAAAGATCCCACCACACTTATCGAAAAGAGTAGGGGTCCATCCCTGTCTTACACAGCTTGTACTTACTGTACAAAACTGGTTGTGTGGAAACAAATAAACTGTTTGCCAAAAAACATTTTTCCAAAAAAAGGAACACATGGGTGTCGGAGCATGGGGTGTTTTTTTGTCTTGTCCCCTTACAGTACTTGGTAAGGGGTCACCCTTCTCAGCTCAGAGTTCCAAAGATACATGTATGTGCTGTGTGTCCAGGAGTCTAGCATAGCAATGCTGGCTTTCACTACAGTTTCAGTTCAACGTGTTGCACAACTTACACTTGTTTGAGCTTAACTTGAGTGAGCCTCACACATACCTGGTTGAATGAAAAATGTCTTCGTCCTAAAACCTCCTTTGTCCTTCTACCATGAAAATTGAAATGAAGTACATGTACCAGCAAAAATGCAAAATTTACAGGAGTTAATTATGTTATTCATTGTATACAATCAAACAAATGTAAGTTGATCATGTCTGTGTGATTTTGCACTGTGCTTAGGCCACACCAATTTAATTTGTTGGTTCTCGGATTTTTCAGAAAAAATATGAAGCAACAGGGCGAAAAAATAAAAATAAAAACAGGTCTAGGCATCCTATTATAGGCTTAAATGCTACAAAATGAGCCATGAAGTCAACACAAAAGGAATTTTGAACTTTTAATCAAACCACTGCAATGTTAGATGGGAAAACTGTAACAACTAGGAAGAAAAGGACTTTCCTCAACTGTTGGGGGCAAAACATGAGCATTTTTCAGTTGATTCAGGACCAGAATCAAATTTTTTTTTTGTTTGCAAATCAGAAAAAAAAACGAAGAGGCGAATCCGAGAACCAACCAATTAAATTGGTGTGGCCTTACTCCTGTACTGCTGTTTGTAGTACATGACTTGTGTATAGATACTTAAAATACATGTAATTGTGTAGGTACAATGATGTTGGTTAGGGCATTAGACCATTGCTGTGGTGGGTCCCCCTTAAGTATTCCACCTAGAGTCATGAAACAGTATTTCAGTTACCAAGCTACTCTTGTGATCTAGCATTATAGGAAATATTTGATATTCAACTGCTGAATAGTTGTTTCTCAGATATACTGCCTTTGAACTATAATTTTTTTTTCTACAAACCCCAGAAGTCATTTAGTTTTCTATAATTCCAAATAGAAAATCTCATGCTTAGTGTGCCCAAATATGTTGATTTATTAACATTGTATGCATGTCAAAGAAAATTAAAAAAACTGGATGAAAAATGGTGTTCTTTGCACTTGCAGGTGCAGGCAAGTTTCTGTTCCTCATAGTTGCTGGAGTGAAGTATACAGGGCACACTAGAGGGAACAGGTTCAGTGTGTTACACACATACAGGCCCAACAAGGTGACACTGTTACCTGTTCACCTGTCCGTGGTGATGTTACGTGTTGTTGTGGACAGAACAACACTAGGGGTGTGAGAGGCATGTGCTACATGTGGTAGGGTTTGTATATATGTGTGGGGAGGGTGTATCATCAATGAATGTGTGTACAGTCCGGGGCTGATTGGCTGAACTCTCTTCTGTCGTCACACAGAAATCCAGGGCAGCCCTGCAGCGGTACCTGTTTTATTACAACCGCTATGCCAACCATCAACAGAGCCTCAAGTTTGAGCATAAGGTGAAAACACGTGTGAAGGATTTGATTTGCATGAGCAGGAAGATTTGTACTAACATAGCCAGAGTCTGTGTAACCTACGTGTACTTTTGGTTTGCAATGTTTTGTGCTTTTGTATGATTTGACAAGTACCTTAATAGTTAAGTTTCACCTTGTCTGTTTGTGTGTTTGTTTGTCTGTTTAAGCCTTTGTTAATTTGTGAAGTACTCAAATCAGCCTGCTGGGAAAGGTCAGGGTCAGACAACATGTAACAAGATACTGGTTTAGTAAAAGAAGCATTTAAATGTACAGTTCACCACAGAAGCTTTCAGACAGCATCTGCCATCTTTCATCAGCCCATGAAGACACAGGCTCTACTCTCAAACTCTAAGCAGAAGTTGGTGGGGAGGATTATGACATTTCTACAATATTCCCCATTTTCTGTTGCTACTGTTGGTGGGGAGTAGCAACAGAAAATGGGGCATGAATTATTATACAAAAGTCATAAACTTCCCCACCAACCCCTGCTTGGAGAGTAACAGGCCCCACAAAGTAGCTTTTGCAGTAGATACGAGACATGCCCACTGACTTAGACTCACACCCTCAGATAATTTTACCCGAGATCCCCTTAGTTTTAGACTCTGCTTCTCAGGGTCCAATCTGGGGCAGGCCTGTGAGAACAGCCTGGCATCTTAGCTGTTGCAGTAGATAGAAGGCATACAGACTGACTCACTCTCACTTGAGTTGTTCAGCTGCCTCAATTAATTATCAAAATACATGTACTACTTATTGCTGTTGAGGGCCATTCCTTACAACTGTATACTGGCCCTGAGAACATCCAGGCTAGCTAGCTCCACAAATTAGCTTTTGCAGTTACTGTAGATAACGAGGCACACACACTGACTGAACCTCCCCCCTCCCCTCCCTGTTTTCCCCAGCTGTATGCCCAGGTGAAGCTGAAGATGGAGGAGATGCAGCAGCACAACATGTCGTGGATCGAGGTGCAGTTCCTGAAGAAGGCGGTGGACGTCCTGTGCCAGTGCCGCACTGTCCTCATGTACACCTACGTCTTCGCCTTCTACCTGAAGAAGAACAACCAGTCCATCATGTTTGAGGTTTGTTTGTTTATTTTGTTTGTTTATTTAGGAAGCTCCATTATTCTTCCAAGAGTCCTTTTCATAAAACACATTATCATTTACATACACGTTTAACTGCTATCAGGTTGTTCAGCCTCGGCGCGTTTCTGTAGATCACTCTGTGATTCTCATCCATGTTTGTAACTGTTCCAAGAGGCTTAGATACTGTCAAACCAACTTACAAGATTACACAATGTAGATGTGGTCAAACCTGTTTGGGCGTAGGTAGTCAAACCTCTACAAGCTAAACCTATACAAGCCTACCTCTGTGAATAGTTTTATCAGGTTGGTAAGTCACAGTGTAAAGAGACTCTTTTTACACAACCATGTCTTTTATTCAGCCAACGTTTCATGGTCACCGAAACATCGGCTGAATAAAAGACTTGGTTGTGTAAAAAGAGTCTCTTTGCTCAGTACAAGCCTAGATACAAATGTACAATCAAACCTGTACAAGTGACCACCTCTGGTCACTGTGATAACTTTTTGGTGGTCGCTTGGATAATTTTTCCCATTGACAAAACCATTAAGAATCCTAAGTAAGTGACCACCAGATTTTACTGGTACCGTGAGTGGTCCTTTTAGGCAGCTTTGACTGTAGTATGGTGTGCCAAACTAGCCGACAGGTTTTACATTCCTTTTTGTCACTTTGATTGCAGGACAATCAGAAAGACTTGGAGAATGCGACGGAGTGTCTGTCGGAGTATCTGGAGAGAGACATCTCTGCTGACAGTCTAGTGGACATCAAGCAGAAGGTCCAGGATAAGTATAGGTAAGAGGGCTGATGTCTGTTAGAGTATCTGCTTTCATCACTTTTTTTTGCTGAATGTCTCATGCTGTTGGCAATATTTGATTGAAGCCGCTGTCACAGTACACACACACACATAACGAGCCTTCTCCACACCATGGTTGGGAATTAAGCCTGTCTTACATGTCATGGTTGGGAGTTAAGTCCCTGTCACACATATGTATAGCTGACTATGGTAAGATAGTATTTTAGACTTTTCAAACTGAATAAAAGTTTAAAAGCTTAAAAGCAAATGTTTTGGGTGTTGTTCCGACACCCTTCATCATTCTGAAAATTCCTATGTATACATTCACTGAACAACACCCAAAACGTTTGGTTATTAAACTTAAATCCAGATTGAAAAGTCTAAAATACTATCTTACTGTTACTACCCTGGATGACCAATCTTCACAAACGTATAGCTGACTATGGTTAGGAGTTATGAGAAAGGGCTGACTGTCATCTGTGTTTGGGAGGTGGTTGGTGAGGTTGCCTACTAGCCTTTTAAGTTTCTAAGTAGATCGAAAAAAAGTTGATGATGTGTAAATGACTGTTGTTGTTGTCTGCAGGTACTGTGAAAGCCGGGTGAACGTATTGCTGCAGCACGTACACGAGGGTTACGAGAAGGACTTCTGGGAGTACAACGAGGTTTTGTAGCTGCTTCTGTGTGTGAAACTAAAATCCTTATAAAAAGCATAATAATAATAACAACAACGTCGTGGTTCAACGGTGCATCTCGCAGCACAGTGGAACAGAAAAATAAATAAAGAATAGAATTTGCTGCAGAAACACCCATATGCCTAGATATGGACAGATTGACCTGTTTGCTCTCTCCCATGAAGTGTTTGGTTGTGTGTAGATGAAAAGAGGAAAAAAAGCCCTGGTTAGATTTTGATGATATGCTGGTAACACATGGAAAAAAATACATGTACGCTTTGCTTACATGGTGTCTAAATTTGGGTGTCTGCGAGATAGTATTATATCTCCGTGTTACTGTATGTACTGCTGTGCAGTGCTTTTTCTCTCTCTTCGGTGGGGATTTTTGTTTTTTGCTTCCGGGGCCATATGTTTGAACTGGAGTACTAGACCATGCTGCTTTTTGTGCCCAGAATGCTGTAGATTGTTCTCACTCAAACATTACATTACAAGTACATGTAGTAATACCAGAAATAAGGATTGGGAATGTTTTCCAGGTAGTTTTAAGCACTGCAGTAGATAATGAGTTGTCAACATGGTTTGCTCTCCAATGACTTCAGTAATTCAGTACACAAACCTTGTACTTCGGTACACAAATCCTGTACTAAGCCATACATGGCAATGTCTAATGTTCCCATTGGGTGTATTAACTACTAAGTACATAGCAGTCTCCAATGGTGTGGATTATAGCCATTTTGTTGAATGATTTCGCATGAAGAGCAATCCCCAGCAAGCTTCCGTTCAATCAACTTGATTTGAAAGTTCTACCGTTGGAAACCAGCACTTCAGAGAAACATCAGGTTAAATAAGGCTTGATCAGGGTTTCGCCTTTGTAGCTTCTAGGTTTTTTTTCTCCTTCTGTAAGGAAGGTATGTAATGAGCATGTACATGTATGTAGCTCTTTTTTTGGGACTGAAAAAATAAAATGCTTTAAGAATATGCAAACAGTGTAAGTAAGATCTTGGATATGTCCGCCTTGGTGTACAATACTTGTATTACATGTTGTACAGAGCAAGACAGGCTATCAGGCTTAGCAACTTCATTCTCACTCAAGTTGCATGTAAGATAATGTGAACAGTGACACTGATAGTACAATTGTGCACCTCTGGTTTATTGTTCCTGTATGCCATTAAGACGAGTGTACCTATTGAAAATTTATCCAATAAACAGATCAAATCATTCTGTTGAGTCCATTGAGTTTGTGATGCGAACTGTTGAGCTAAGGCCACACCAATTTAATTTCTTGGTTAACGGATTCGCCGCTTCATTTTTTTCTGATTTGCAAATAAAAATAAAAATTCGGAATCAACTGCAAAATGCTCATATTTTGCCCTGAACAGTTGAAAACAGTCCTTTTCATCCTAGTTGTTACAGTTATTCTATCTATTGATGCAATGGTATCATTAAAAGTTCAAAATTCATTGTTTAAATTTTGAACCAGCCTGGTGTGTTGACTTTATGGCTCCTATTGTACCATTTTGGGCCATAATAGGATGTATAGGCCTGTTTTTATTTTTTTCGCCCGCCCGCTCCATTATTTTTCTAGAAAAATCCGTTAACCAAGAAATTAAATTGGTGTGGCCTAAAGATAGCTTTTTTTTCAGGAAATATCAGGCATGTAACGTGGGTGAAGGTTAGACATCCAGGTAATAATAAGATTCGCCAAAAACAGTTACTAGTACTCAAGCAACTGGATATGATTTTGGAAACGGTCAGACGTTCCAAGAAGGATCAACCTTTCGTCAGCGACACTAGAGACTTGCAGGAGAAAGGCAGATTTGTAAGCACGAACTAGAATATCCAGTTGCTTGAGTAACTGTTTATTTGGCGTAACATGCGTGTTGGTATATTTTGAAGACAGTACATTGCCAGATAGACTGGCAATGTCATGAAGGTTACGGTATGTAGCATAGCAGGTAAGTGCCCAGGTAAATTAAAACTACATACCGTAAGAAAACTTTTTCTTGGATTTCTCGAGCAGAAAATGTATCAAAACATTTTGCAATATAGTGTGGACAGCAAGCACATATGCCTACCCTATCAGAAAAATAGTACTGTAGAAAACAATTCGAAATGGAAAACTCCACCAAGGCACCATACTTCAGATGCAGTTTCCAAAGTGGTCAGCAGAGGGCAGTGCAGGACTGGTAAATCTCAGGTCTGTCCTCAGATTGTATTAGCCTGCCTTTGTTGTCTCACACTCTGGTATCTAGGTGAAGCTTGATAATGATTGTCAATATGTACGGACTGGTTGTGTTGAGTGTAAATCATACTTGTAATGTACATGTATACACTGATAAATGTGTTCTAAGTGCGTGAGTGGGTACAGTGGGCCTGAACTGGATGTCACTACATTTTGCACACATAAGAGAAAATCACACACATAGCACACATAAGAGAAAATCACACAGGCTTACTAGCATATTCTGTGACCTTTTTCGTGATAAAAGGACTTAATTGTTTATTTCAGGAAAGGACGGGGTTATTTTACACTTGTCAACTGTGTGTTCTGATTTGCTTATGTACATTCTACATTTGCATCAGGACAGCAAAAGATGTCTCACTGCCAGAATTTTTGCCACTTACCATATGGTGCTTGTTCATACAGTATATCTTCATTCTACTGTACTTCATTTATAGAGTATCTAGAACAGGTGCCACATATACAATGGGACAAAAGCAATATTGCTAAGCCAGTGCATGTGTCAATCTTATAGTACATACGAGTGGTAGTATTCTCATTACCAACATGCTAACAGCAGGGAAATATTTCATCTTGTCTGTGATGACTTGGACACATGTGAAGTACTAGGCCAAATAGACAATGATATGCAAAAGGAGTTAGCCAGCCATAGCGTTGAAAATTTTTATTCTATGGCCAGTGAACTCCCCTGGCATATTATTGTCTATTTGGCAAATCCCTACTATTTTTCCGACAACCCAGTCTGGTAGAGATTGCGAAGTACTGCCAACGTTACAGTTACTGTACATTCATTCATCAGCAGGCTCATTCCCTTGGTTTTACATTCCACTATTCCCGATCATTGCACAGAAGATGAGCCAGTGAAAATACTGTTACTATAGGACATACAGGGATACCCTGTTGTATTCATGTTGTAGAATTCCAGTGTCAAAGAGGCAACTGTGTGAACAAAAAGGTCACCCTATGGTAATAACATAGTCATACCTTATGGTGGCTAAACTCAACTGGCAATTTGTTACTCCCTATTTGGCTAAATTTCACTATTTTCCAGCCAGTGTGGTGAAGATCAATTCATTTTCAGTGCAGTTTTTGCCATCTACGAAACCATGTATATAAATATGGACAAGCAATTTACATTTGCTTGTCTTGACGTGACTTTCCATTTGTAGCTGGCATATTTAAATATCACTGAATGTTCCTTTTCATAGGAAAAACACAGTAATCTGTAAGTAAATGAATGTTAGTATTACATATAAAAAGCACCAACAGAATGATTTTGGGCATCAGGAAAGAATCATAAAGTACGTACGTAAGTACGTAAAAAACTATATAATAAACTTTAACCTAATGTTTCTAGTGACAGCTCCTCTTTCTGATTGCACCACCAACTTTCTGCAGTTTTTGTTCTGCAGGGCAACAATGTACATGTACTTCCACTTGGAAACTCTCCATATTATCATAATAGTGCATTAACAACATACCATATACATGTATTGCAAAATGCTCTTGGAACCATTTGCTCCTTGTGCCAGTGATATAGAATTAGAAGTACCCAAACGGCAGTGTCCAATTTACTAATATCCTACTTTAAACATGCAATCCCTTGGGCAAGTCAAGAACAGGGGGCGTCCATCCCAGATCACTTTCATTGCTGATGCTTGGTGTGGCGTTATGATAGTTGCTGTATTCGCCCAAAGCGTACCCATACTGAGTCCTGTCTGTGCTGGTAATCGGTGGTGGCGGAGGTATGCTATCTACTGCCTCCCTCAGGAACACATTGACGTCCCAGTGGTCGCCGCCGGCCAGGTGTCTCTTTTTGAAGTGCAATTTGGGTACATTATGGTGGGGCAACCCGCTTCCTGGGGGACCGGACACGAAGTACTGAGAAGACTGACCAATCAGAGGTGACTGAGGCTCGGTCTTTACCCCTTGAGGTGGACATATGTTCCTGTTTGGGGGAGAAGGAGGAGGAGGGGGATGTTGGACGTCAGGCTCGGCACGGACATATGTGCGCTGGTAGTCCTCCCAGTGCTTCTGCCTCATGTGGCGTAACATGTTCCCCCTCTGTGTGAACCTGGTCGGGCACAGGGCACACTCAAACTTCTGCGGCACCCTCGGTTTGGGCCCAGGCTGGCTGCGGTACAGCAGAGACACGTCTATGGGCGGGGAGTCTACCATATGGTGTAGCGGTCTAGTCATATCCAGGTACCTACTCTCTACATGAGGTGGTGAGATGGGCTCCTCCTTGGTCAAAGGTAAACTTACAGCAGTGGGCGGCAATGCAGTAGGTCCAGGGTCTAAGACTGGAGGTTGACTGGAGACACTGTCTACTTGCTCTCCATCATTGCCTAAAGGTAAGATGTGTTTCGAGTCAGTTTCATTTTCTTGGAAGGATCCGTCCTCCTCCTCTTCCTCCAAGTCTTCCTCCTCCTCTGCAGGTCCACCACTGCTGAAGGACGTGTCCATGCCCTCGTCCGTGTTTCCCTCGTAGCTGCCCTCCATATCGTCCGACATGTGCATGCTGTTGTCCTCCGAGTTCTCGCCGTCCCCCATCCTGGCGGCGATGGCGGCTCTCGTGGCGGTCGTCCCGTCGATCCCGTGCTTCACCTTCATGTGCCTCATGAGGTTCCCCTTCAGCGTGAACTTGCTGTTACAGTGGCTACACTTGAAGGGTTTGGAGTCGCTGTGCAGGTGCATGTGGCCGGACAGGTTGTGGAACCTGGTGAACTCCTTCCCGCAGACCTTACACTTGTAGGGTTTGACCTCGCTGTGGGTGACCATGTGGGCTTTCAGCGTCTGCCTCTGGTTGAAGGCCCTCCCGCACACGTTGCAGCGGAAGTCGCGGCTGTTGCTGTGGATCTGGAGGTGCCGCTTCATGTTGGCGTGCAGCGTGAACTCCCGCCCGCAGATCGGGCACTTGTGCTCCTTGACGCCGCGGTGCGTGAGCGCGTGCTGCTTGAGGTGGTGGATCTGGAAGAACTCCATGCCGCACTCGGAGCAGATGTGCGGGCGGATGTCGCGGTGCTTCATCAGGTGGTTGTTGAGCTGGCTCGGGTACATGAACGTCTTGTCGCACTCCGTGCACTGGTAGGAGTTGGGTCCGCGATGTGTCGCGAGATGCCGCTTTAACATAGCAAGACTCAGGAACTCGGCCCCACACTCCACACAGATGTTGTCCTTGGAGTCTGCGTGTTTTGCCTCATGGGACTTCAGTTCGCTGGGGTAGGCGAAGCCTCGGCCGCAGATGCCGCAGGTGTGGGGCCGGGACTCGGTGTGCTGCATCATGTGACGCTTCAGGTGGCTGGACTGGGTGAAGGTCTTGTCACAGACTTGACATCTGAAAACAGGTAGGTGAAAGTGATTTATTTTAAAGCTGCAATTCAGACTTGTAGGTATGCATTAAGTTGGTTAATAATTGAAATCCTTCCCATACCTTTCAGTACTACTAGCAGCAGCACGAAACTGCATCCTTTGGAGGGAGAAAGTTTACTGCCAAGTCCACCTATGCAATAGGCTACCACCACGGATAGCCAGCGACATTATATAAGTATATATATTAGGGAACTGGTGGAAACTATGGAGGATGGCACGCAGGCTACCTAATATGCATCAAAGTTGCAGGAGGATCTAAGGACTAAGGTAAGTTATCCTTATCCTTACCTGTGTGGCCTGACCCCTCCGTGGACCAGCATGTGTGTGTTGAGATGACTGAGCTGCTTGAACAGCTTCCCACACTCCTGGCAGGCGTGGGGTTTGATCCCGCTGTGCCCCAGGACGTGCGTCATCAGGTTGTGCTTGGACGAGTACATCTTCGGACACTGGTTACAGCGCCAGCGCTTCTTTCCCTCCTCGTCAATGATGCAGGCGTCGTCGTCAATAGCAACCGTGAGGTCCAGTCTCTCGTTACTGGGAATGTCTAGCTTACTACCATTGGTGCTGACACAGATTGCGGGCATGTAGGAATCGTGAACAGTTTGAGCTTGGGGGTTATGATTCTTTACGTGGGGTTCTGTTTCATCATCAAAGTCAATGTCTGATTCATGTTGATTGGCATAGTGTTCGTTTTTTAATGAGCCGGAAGGGAAGAAGCCCAACTGGTCGGGTTCGAAGTCTATCCTGAGGTCTGCGATGTCACCGTTACTGGTGAGGTGGTGCTGGGTTCTGGCCGGGCTGCAACTTTCCACCTCACCGTGGTTAGGAGCTGTTCTGTTGGGATCCATGGCGTAGGAACTGTAAGGTACATAGAGACCAGACGGACATGAAATCTAGAGACTATAGTCAGTGATATTGGTTGTGCACATGCAGCAATATCATATATATAAATTTCTGGAGATGAGTAGCCTAGGTAGCCGTAGTTACTGCTCTTGTTGCTGGTTTAATACCTCAGAGAATTTTGATGCTCTCTGACTTTGACGCTTTTTCAGAAGCATATTTTCATCGGGTAAAATTTTGTTTTAAATCTGTCATTTAACTTTTAACACTTTAAGTTTATGAAAATATTTTTCAGTTATAGATTTCAGATCTTAGGGACAGCCGGGGTGACATTCTTGTCTGTCTCAACAAGGGAATTTCCGTCCAGGAAGACAGTCCTGGTGGGAATATAACGATCATAGAACTGTCCTCTCTTTGTTCATACAGGACTTCCCTCCTCAGACCCCAGTAAATAAAGGCTGTTGGCATGCAACACATTCAATCACTGCGGAACGTTTCCACGCTTTCCTTAGTATAAATATATACAGCAGACAGGCTTTGTTCCAAGTGTGTGTTGTGGGCGAAGGGAAAATCTAAAGAATTCTTCCTGGTACAGAAGCACGCGGACACGCAAGAAGGAGTCGCGATCCCCCGTTCCGACTCCGTCTGGAACGGTTCCGGATATTTTCGCGACTGTCAGACTCTGACGGGCCGGGGGTTTCAACCTTCTCTGTCGTCATCACTATCAAAAATTACCCCTTAATACAGTTCCAGATTGAAGCATAACATGCATCTTTCACATTTAATTTCAATTCCCTTTTAAGAAACACAACTACATTAGTGAAATTTAAAGAAAATGTAAAATTTGCACGGACAAACCTTTCTTTGGCAGCCATTTTGTCTTTATAACCAGAACGTCATTTCAGTCTTACCTGTGATTGGCTCATATGACTTCTACTCTCACTCTGATTGGTGAAAAGGTACATGCTGATTGGTCAATTATGTGACATTCAGGGAAGAAAGGTATGAAATATTTATATGTTGCATGACGGGAGATACAGTCGAACCGCAGGTCACCGTAGAACGCGTTATTCTCTAAGATACGGCGTTTGCCGGGTCACGATTTGACCCCGTTGCATGGGTGTAAACAACTGCCTATAGTGCAGCAAAAAGACCTCAGACCTACACAATGTTTACATTTTTTCATATCTACAGAATTTGCCCAGTACAACCATGTAGATATTTCGTGCATTGCAAAATGCCAGCGAGCGCTACGGCCTTCCAAAAATTAGCAATTTTTGGTAATTTTATTTGTGCTTGTCTTTTTTACTATTTAACTGGATCCCGTTAGCTAATACCACAGTGTGATAGCCCACTTCTTTACCTTTACATCGATACCAATGACCCCTGGTAAATTTTATGGCAAACGGGTTTGCCCCCAAAAAACTGTGACGATGCGCATATCGCGGTGGTCAAATTTAGCCCAGTTGTAAGCTACTGACACACACCATCCTGAGTTTCCGCTACATTTTGATACATTTCGCGTAATGTCATAAAATTCGTTTCTTGGTATGAGAAACAGTTTGAATGTGGCTACCACATGCAATATAATACGTGATATGATAACATTCAATTATATACAAAAAGAGGAATTTAATACAAGGTTCTGACCATTCAAAAATCGTCAAATTTGAAGTCAATCGGTTTCGAACTCCTGCGTTCGATCCATGGAACCAAGGCAGCGCGTTCCATTTTTCGCGCCGCCAACAATGTTGCAACTTTCAACCCGTTTGCGAAAGTTCATAAAAAGAAGGAATCAAGTTTTTTTTCATCACAAACAGACTTTCTGAAACCCATTCCAAGTAAGACTTATATCATGAAGACGCTAAAGAAAGTGAGATTCTTGTGCAACTATACAAATGTCAGTACATATTCCCGATGTTTGTATATTTACAGTAACAGGTCATAGTGTCCAATTTCTCCTTCAAAAATTAGGTCATGAAAAATCAACCTGTTGTTGTATTTGTTCATGCCCAAATTCCTTCTCTTCTGTTTTCACCCGTAAAGTGGGTATCGTTTTGAAACTTACTATTTGGCCGATATTCTTTCACTTTCATTTTTGTTCTATATAACTTTTAACAGAACATTTTTGAAGGCAAAGAAACTGTAAAGAAATTACACTTTTTCTCAAGGTCGAGCTGCAATACACATTGTGCAACTTCAAAACTAAGTACACAGGTGTCAAGCCAACATAACTATATTTCAGCCACATCTTACATTACAGGTGTATTGGTTAGAACTAGTTGCAAAAGCTTGCGATTCGAACAAAAATCGTTGAGAATTCGACTAAATGATCCCAACTTACTATCGGTTATTATATTGTAACAACTACAGGATCCCAAAAGAAACAACACATGATAGATGAGGGAGGGTCTATACTTTATTAAACAATACACCAAATCGACGATGAAATAGGGCAAACGGGTTTGCCCCCAAAAAAACTAAAGGGTACCTGTCTCGAGTGGAATGATCTCCATCATACACGGTCAACTTTGAAACCTCGTTTCTCCAACAAACACCACCGGTAATGTACATCTACGACCTTGAGCGTGACGCCGGCCCTTCTTACATCTCACGTTAACGTATGACAAGGAAACACTTACGCAAAGCGGAGTTACAAGCGAAACAGTAAACAGTAGCAAACTCTCGCGGATTCTCGCGGATCACATTACCTTGGAAAAGAAGCGCGAGATTTAAACGAGATCTTAGAGGGAGCTGCGCAGAACCGATGCGCATAGCGGTCTGCGGTTCGACTGGATACAGAATTTGACCTGGACATGCACCACACTACACAGAACTGCAGCGACGTCTCGAAAAAATAAGAAGGTAACGTTCACTAAAGGACTTTCATTCCTACTTCTTGTCCTTTTTAAGTTTCCCCAGATTACCTACAAACGACTTCTTTTCACAGGGCACGAATTCTGCACTAGTAGAGGTAGGTTTTTCCTGTGGATCGAAAGTGGAACCAAAAACTTTTTGCCGTAACGTTACGTTAGTTGTGCCAACCGCAAGCAAGCACTTATTTATGTCAAGGCGACAGAATTTTCTGCTTGCTGGCACGCGTCCTTGCGCTCGCAGATTCGTCGTTTTCCTTGTTGTGGGTCGGATCTGGGTGTATTTTGACTCCGGTCCGGCCAGGATCTGTTTGTTTATCTACCTTGAAGTTTCAGCTGGGGTGCCAGGTTACTACCCGTATGCACCTGGACTGGGTCACCGTACATAGAAATATCTTGTTTTGAAAGTGATAACATTACAAGGACCCTAGGTAACAAGTTACCGAGCTATATCATACCAGTAATCCACGGGTAAAAGTTGCAGTGACGGACACACGTTGTTTACCTTAAAGTTGTTGTTTTCTACCTGTACGTTTAAAAGTGGGTCACCTGTGCTCTTTAAAAATACGTCATCACATTGGATCTGTCGTTTCAAGGAGGTTTAAATGGATGAGCCATCTTGGTACAATTAAGGCTGTTTTTCTGATAAAGAAGCAGATATAAGAGTTCAGTGAAAGGACAGGTGGTCGGAAGTATCTCTCAAATCATGATATTCCCTTGATAACAGCTAAACGTTACACATAGACGTAGATGTAGATGATGTATATGTCTAACATGATATTTTTGTACCATGGAGACCAATGTCACATGTGTATATTACGTAGTCTGATGTCATATGGTAGTGTTAAAAATACTTTTAACAGCCTTAACCACAGACGCATATGTATGTCAGTTGGGGCATGGTCACATCTGTCGCACGATCATTGTAAGGTCACAAACAGGGAAAATTTTTGGGATAATCCGTCATGTATGTTTCTCACAAGATTCAGCTGTCTGAGATCCCTGTTGGCTGGCAGTTGGTTCTGTGACTGACTCACGGCCTCCCTGAAATTTTTACGATATCAAAATCGTACGACGGACGTGACTGCACCGTTAGACTGATGTCATACTCATAGTGGCCAGAAACTTGCCAATGGGTGGACAGGAAATTGAATCGGGATCGGTTTATGATGACGCATTAATAAATCTCATAGTCATAGACAGAGACTTCCAGACAAATCCGATGGCAGTCTCCCACCAGACGTGGCACGTTCTACGGGCTAATTGAATTTTCACGGAAGGATCATCTGTTTTTATTTATCGGAATTCAATAACCTTGACAGCAGCCTGCGTCAGCCTGGGGTCACATGATTCCTATTGTCAGATCGTATCTAGGTGACTTTGAGGTTGTCTCATTTCTGAGAACGTCAACATACTTTTGTCTTTTGAAGAAAATTGGATGCTTTCACCACTGCGCCAGTATTTTTCTATTGTGGTAGCCGAATCTCGGCACTCCTGTGTTCCACTGATAGCCTAGGATTAAAGAAACAACTTTTGAAGGTATTGTCATATTATGTATTGTACACGTACGGCACAGGTGCAAATCGATTTTGAATTGGCTGTCAAATATATCTATTTCAACGTGGCCTTCCTTTTATTCCAAGAAAAAAAGCTACTACTAAGCTGTCGTCGATTGTTCAAAGAATTGGTTTTGTTAATAATTGTGAAAGTGCTGACTTCACCAGGCTTGTTCCTGTTGCCGCCTACGTGTGCGCTGGCTCGTGGCAGTGTTGACATTGTGTGGGTGAGCGCCATTGTTAGACGCCACCCACCCATATTGTTCTACCAGTGACGTACTTAAGGTGTGACAACACACTTGAAAAAAAAAAACTAAAAAAAACTCAGGTGCTGTCACAGGAAATGTGCCGTGGCACTTCCCAGTACAGGCATGTCAGGGGATGTTTACCTGACTGCATGACACATGCGTGGGTTATTTTCTCTTCATTAGCTCACACCTAGGAAACTGTAATGAGCGTAAATCACACAAAACAATGCAAACTGGGGGTTGTCCACCAATACACACCTCGACAAAAGGCACCCATACTTATGTGGGACATCCTGAATTCCTTGGGCATTACATACTGACCACACTAAACCTGTAGCACAAACATGTATACAGTAAACACTGGCAGAACCCCTTAGGCTAACACAATTACTGACACATTGCTTGGACATGTATTAGGTGTGTTATAGGGCGGTGCTTTGACCTCAGCGGAGTCACCCAGAGGTTAAGTTTCCAAGGTGAGTAAGGTCTAGAACAAATATGACTCATACCCGGCAGTCTATGGAGATCTTCTATCCTGTTGAAGTCATTAAAACCAGCAAGGTTTGTTGTCTTAATTGGGTTGTTCTACTTCTCAGATATCAAGTTGGTAAGCAGTTTTATGCTTTCCTTTTCAAGGTTTGTGTTAATAACAATTTGTCTCTGTCAAAAATTCTTTCATCTTTTCTATGTTGCCAAAACTTCCCTCAGTTCCTGTCCAAGTTGCCGTTTGGTTAGCCGCTTTTTTTTTCCTTCAATCAAAGTTAGTGGTGCATACCGGTTCACTGGACTTGGATCCGGACTTGTAAAAATGTTTAGGTTCAAGTCCAAAAAAACCTAAAAGTCAAGAACCGAGTCCGGACTTATTACCATAAAAGACCATTTCACATACCCCTTTTCTTTTTAAACCACCTAAAACCTTCCGTAGATTCCAAAATCTTTGCTGCAAAATGAAGAAAACATTGCCATCGGGCATCGTCAAGTACCAGCCTCCAGTTTATGTGGCCAAAGTTTCACCCAGACAACATTGCGAGGTTGCCAACATGCAATTTTGTATATGCCATGGGTTTAGGTCCGGACTTAAGTCCGGACCTGAACCTAAACCTCTGGACTTGAATCCGGACCTAAACCTGAAATTGGGTTTAGGTATGCATCACTAATCAAAGTACACGTGCATGTAGTAGAATCTCTTGGCCTGGTGTCCACAACCCGTCTGTCAACAGGTATCGGAGCCTGTGCCACGGCTCCCTAACTCCCCAGATTACTGCCCTGTTTGTGGAGACTCTCCCAAGCCGGGATCAGGGAAACAGACGGCTGTGTCCTCCCAGCTGGCCCTGAGCTGGTGCTGGGGTGTTGATCAGGGAAGGGTGATACACTATCAGGAGAAACAGCACATGTGACCCTGTGCACAGGTCAGACAACATGGGGCCAGGTGAGGGGGAGGGGGGTAGTTTCGTATCCAGTAGGGTTATTAGGATCAGGTAAGGTTCTGGATACGAGTAGTCTCCACGTATCCAAGAACGTAGATTTACCCCATGCAGTAGCACCATTCTGGATTATCCAGAACTCAGTGCCTAAGCATGGTTCTGGATAAAGTATCATTCATGTTCTGGATATAACAGGAGGTGTACAAAGCAGTTCTAAACTTCTATCTCCACATGTAGAAGTTTTCACACTTGTATGTAGAGAACTGCTGAGATGAATCTGTTCTGGGGGTACTGGAGGTACAGCACGTGTGTTTGTTTAAAGGTCAGTGGTCTCCACACTTTGTCAGTTTGTGAGGAAACCTTTGCTCACATCTGCAGATGCTACTGGCTGGGGTTTTCCCTTTGAAAAAAAAAGTCTAGACAGACTGAGTAGACAGAAAAGTTCCGAAGAGGTGTCTACTTCCTTTTAATTCATGGACACAGAATACTGAGAATAGAGCTGAAGTGATCCTGACTTTTCTTTACTGCATCTCAGCAGCTGCATGGTAACTATTTGTTACAGGTGTTCGTTCTGACTTCTGATTTTGATCTCCGAGAGTTTTAAAAATTTTTTTCACTCAAGGTATTATTGCTGTAGATGATGTGTTGTGTAACTTTTCGCTGTTAGCTTATGCATACCAGTGAGATTATTTCAGTGGGTCTTTAAGTTTTAACTAGATATCAATATAACAATCCTTCTATGTCCATTAGAATAGTTATGGGAGATAGTCACCCATAATTAGATCAACCAGGCTTTATGATTGACGCTTTTTGGGAGGCTTATGATGTGATTTTTTGTGGGGTCAAGAAATCAGAGAAAAGGCACATTATAAACCCCCCAAAAAGCCTCTCTTTCAGAGCCTGCTAAGGACGCTACTCATTGTCAATCTTTCTGTGCCCTTGTGTTGTAATAGCACGTCGGCAGAACGTACTGCACCTGCGCAAAAACCGTATTGTATTGTGCATAGCATTTCAGCAGAACGTCTCATATAAGGTCGTATTCGTGTATATGTTATGTCGGAAAATATATAGCCTGCAACAGGAAAAATTCTGATGCAATGGTAACCAAAAACCCAACGAAAACCGTGGAAAATGACAGTTTTGTGCAGGCGCAATACGTTCTGCTGACGTGCTTGTTATAATATAGACCTGTGCTTGATTGAGGAAAGCATGGCTTGACTCAATCAGCTTGGAATGACTTGTATCAAGGTTGATGGATCAAACTCATAACCTCCCCCTGTACCCTGGCAGTGTGCCATCCATGTCTGAAATATTTCTTTCCTGTTAGTATTACATATGATATAAATCAGCTGGCTTACTGCTGCTGACAGACAGATTTGCTGGTCTCCTTAGCAGTCTCCAGAGGGGGTCAAAATCCATAGGTCAAAATAATGCAGCACTGTTTTCCTTTCAGTTTCCCTTTTCCACTATAGAGCTATCACAAAGTGACTGTTGTGCAACCAAAATTGGCTTTATCATTATGTGACCCTTGCTTTTATACTAAATGATATAATTTGTCTCCTAAACCATGTCTAAACATGATTAAGAGACACAGAAACATAAAATGTGGGGAAATTTGTTCTTCATGATGATGTATGAAATTCGTTCCCTGATTTGTCAAATTTTTGTTGCTCATCAGTCACACAGCCTCTAGTAGAGAAAGGGCGTTACTGCAGTCACCAGAAATCTGTTGTACGAATTGATCAGAAAGAGTCTCCTGTCTGGTGAATAAATTGTGCAACACTACTGCTAGTACTTCTCTTGGGCTCACAGATTGATCTTTTGTACAAATAGGTTTTCAGAGACTCAGATATGGAAATGAAAAAACAGAAATGAGAGCTTTCAGTCTCAGCAGATTTGCTACATATATGAATATGATGTATTCATTTATGACAGGCGTGGTGTGTGTTTAATGTGCAGGCCTGGGATCTGACATTCAGCGAAGTTCACACTGTCAAAGTTCATTTGCACGACACCCCAATTACATGTGTATTCAGTCCCATCAGGTTTACTGTATGCATGCCTCGTTGCTTTTTATGAGCAGCGGTGACAATTATGGGTCCATTTCACACCAAATTGACAACAATAGCAATCCTGTGTAAACAAGAGCACACATGAGCATGAATTCACACCCCTGTGGGGTGCTAAACGTGGTATATCCCCACTGTGTTTAGCATCTGATTCAGTGTAAATACTACTAGCAGTGCAGGCTCCTTCACACACCAGCAGTGGTAAACAGTGGGCGGGGCATGCAGGTTTATTGTTGGGCTGTCCCCTGAAGGCACTGGTGATGTATGACACCATGTGACTTGTCTGTGTGCCCTGCTGTCACCGTAGTGTCGTAAATTTGGCCCGGGTTTCGCAGATGATGACACGATAGACGAATTACCGGTTAGGTGAAATCATCTCTGTAAATACACAGGGCCAAACTGTCAGCACGGTGAGGTCACATAATTAAGCATCATTGCAGGTAAACAATTTGTTTCTGCAAGGCCTGTGTTTGTGTTAGGGATGAATGTTTTGTTGATACTAACATGTTCCTTTCAGTTATTTTCTCCAGTACAGTGCATAGGATTGTTGTGTAGTGGACTACAATGTGTATATGTAATGTAGTCAGATCTGTATCTATACTGTAGTCCTTGTTATGTTACTTGGGTGGCATTTTATCTCCGACTGTGAGAAAAAAAACAGTGCAGTCTGCATGCAGTTCTCTCAGGTGCATGAATTCTATGAATTCTATTGTGTCCTTTTGTGTTTACGTTTGTTGCTCTGACCTAGTTTAGGTAGTTTTTGATATGCTTGTGATAACAGTGACAGATTGTCCTCTCTGACTGTGTCTTATCTGTCTTTTCCAGATCTATTCTCCGAATCCCCCATGTGCCGGCCACCTTTCACGCGGAAGGGAAGCTTTTAATTGTTCCGACAACGGTGACGGAACAGCACATAAATGTACATTCGCCATTTCACCCCATAGCTTCAGCTGCAGAGGATACAGACCGCTGGTTGTTGTCACCAGAATGTGCTGACCCATACGTGTTGGTGTGACACCTGTTCTGGATCTTGTGTGTAGTAAAGGAACCACTTGTACGCTTGGCTGCCACGGACTGATTAAAACCCAGCAAGGAACGGCTATATTTTTCTCCACCGAACGGAAGTGTTTCTTAAAACTTGTCAACACATATCAATATGAGCTTTGTTACCACAAGCAAGATGTGCATGGATGGAACCCCGGCAGTGGGAGTTGTGAAATTTTGCTGACACTTCAGAGAAACACGGAAGCCCTAAATCCAGCTGCATTCAGCCATATTTGGTCCTTCCTGCATCGCCAAGGTGGACAGTGTGATAGCTAATGTTCCTGCCAACAACTAACACAGACCAGAGCTCCAAGATGTTGAGAACACAGGCAGTGAGAACTGCCCAGGTCTTGCTGACGCTGGTGTTATTTTACTGCGGACATGTCACTGGGCAGATAACGGACACGACGCCGCTATGGGTGACAGAAGGTAGGTGTCGTGATAGCTGCAGTAGACACTGTGAACAACGCGGTATGCATAATGCTTTAGGCAGTCTTCAAGCCAGCAGGAGGGAAAATTCTCCTGCCTTTTGTAATTTTCATCATCATTTTTTTTTATACACACTAGTTGTATGCCAAACCTGATACATGCAGATAAACCAACTGGTACAAAACACCACAATTTTGTTCCACAGCTTCTGAAGAGTATAGCATAGATTCATTGAGGATGCTGCTCTATCTGTTTTCAAGAGATACCATATACTACATTAGTACAATACAGGGATTTTTCAATGCCTAAGCTATAGTCTAGACAGGTGTTGCTAGTGTCTTATTCTATTCTCCAAGCAGAGGTTGCAGTTGGGGTTATTTTGTAGTTTTTCGTGGCCCTTAGCTGCAAGTTCTCTCTTATGCATCCCTTGGCAAAAGGTATAATCCCCGGAACAAACCTCTGCTTGGAGAAGACCTTTAAAGGCTTTAAAGACTGAACACCTTTGTGTGTACTACAATTACAAGGAGGGAGGGGGGCATGCGAAGGTTTTGTCTTCTAGTCTGACCCCCCATTTTCAAGAGTTAATGCTCTTATACATTGTGATTTTCTCATCTCAATACTAAACAGATGTTGCCCAGTTCTTTTACCATACAGAGAACACCTTTGTGTATACTGTGTACTATAATATGAGGTGGGAGGGGGGCATGCTCAGGTTTTGTCTCCCGTACTGACCCTGCTCCTCCTGTCTTTGTTGTTAGACAATCTTCCCCCTAATCCCTGCTGATGGGAAAGTCTGGCCTGAGCTTCAGCACTTTTCTCTAGAAATACAAAATGGTCGCCTCGCTTGGCAATAACGAATGAATAAATAAAGACCTTTATAGTTAGTTTATTGAACATTTTTGCCCTACTGGGCTAGGCACAGGACGAGGTCACACAATGACCAAAACAATTGTAAGTATACATATTCTGAAGACATATAATAATTTTTGCTAGTACTTTTATCTTCCTCTCATTTGGTAATACCGGTAGTATGATTCTATGAATATACAAGGGGTTTATCAACAAAAGGTACAAGGAATATAAATTTCTCTTTACTATTCAAAGACAAAATAATAGACTCCAATGCAATAATTGCAATTGTATTACATGATTTTCCTTTTAACCTACACATGTTTATTTTGAAAATTAAAATATCAGTTCATTGATAACGATTTTTTTTTTGTTTATTCAAGCAGCTTTCTGTTCAATGCACATGTGTGTCGTATGTATATAATCACGGTAATGGGGGCCTCGGGCATTAGAATAGACTTTTAGTAGTCTTACACATGGGAATGCCCACTATTCTGATTCGTCTCAATCATTGGTTTATAAGACTGGCTGCATGACCCAGTTTTTCATAAGTGACACTGTGGTTATGTCTAAATGAAGCAAGGAGGTAGGATTCTCAGTAAAGGCACTCTAACGTCAAAATTTGATAATCTGAAATATTGAATGATGTCAAGTTATGGACTTTATCCAAGCACCATTTTCTGCTTGGCTTCAGTCAAATTACTCAAGTCATAACTTGATTTGCTAGAAAATATCACATCGGATTTTCCCATCTGGAAATCAATAATGCCCATTCCGCATTCGAAATGATGTAATCATATTTAACTTCCATGGTTCGTGACTAATTGTTCCCTCTGGAATATTCTTAGATGTACTCTCAACCGTAATGCTAGCCTTGTTACCCAACCTAGATGTCTTTTAGCTTCCCAAATTGCGGAGAGGATGAAAAAGACTTAACAGCTAAAATGGATTTGGTAATGAATGAGGCTACCCTATTACTGGAAAGGTTCATAGTATACAAAAGAAAGACGTACAGTAACATTAATATGTTGCTTCTCATTATAACACGGAGGCTTTACAAATAACAAACCTATTCGTAGATTTAAAAAAAAAACATTGATGTAGATAAGTTTTGGAGAACCATGGTTGGAAGAAATTTTCATTCAGAATCAAATTTATATTTTTCTCAGTCATTTCTTAATCAGCCCTTTTTGTGAGTCTTTTAAGACCGTTTTGTGCTTGTACAATGTCTATAGTTCACTGTGTTAGTTTTTTTGTCCACCTCCCTCCAAGCAGACTAATTTATCAATCGAGCTTGATATGTGGGTCTTTTGTACAAATTGTAGACTATTCTGCATCTCTTTGGTCTAGTAGTCCATGTTTTGTTCAGAGCCAGGCAGCTGCATCTGCTTGGAGGTCAGCTGTTTGTCTCCAACAAGAGGCTGAATGCCCGCTTTCACACAGCAGGAGTTTGAGAAAATTCCTGGGGACCACTGCAGCCACAATTATCGTAGATCCATTTATTTTGGTTCAATATTGTAGAATATTTTAATATCGTTAGGTGACATTCATTTCTTAGGTTTTGTAATAAATTCCTGCCGCAAAATCTTGAAGTGAAAAATGGAGGCCCGCAAGTCCTTTTCCGTAGAGCGTAGACGGACCGCTCTTCGCATTTTGCGTAGATTGTATTCGCCGTTTTAATTCTACGTAATGCGTTGTAGCCACTTGGAATTTATCGTAACGTAATCGAGAGGTTTCCAAATTCAGCGTAGAGCGTTGTCCGGACCCCCCCCCCCTGGAAGGCCCTCAAAAATGATTCAAAATGGGAAGAGAAACTCAATAAGAAGGGGAGAAATGTATTAATGGACCTAACTATTCAACATGGAGCCTGTGATTTCTGCATGGCCCAGAGGCCTACAGAGAGGAGCCTAATTGCAAGGCTGAGGTCAGCGGGTCGTGGCTAATTCCACTTCAGCAGGAGTCTGGATAAAGCCTGCCTTCATCCCACAGGGAAAGTAAAAGGGGAAAGTCCTGCTCTTGTGTAGACTGACCCACAATTTGCCTCACACCCCACGCAACCTCTAAGTACTAACAACTTCCTCAGATCATGGCTATTTTTGGACAGACCACTGTCCCTTGTTTGCAGGGTGGATGAAATACAGTACTGGGAAAGTGAAAGGGGAAAATCGTGCTCTTGTCGGCTGATGCACAATTTGGCTCGCACAATGTCCATCCCACCACCCACCTCTCATAACAACTTTCTACCGGGTAAAGCAAATGGCTTTTTTTTTGACAGAATAGAAATCTGCCGTCCCTTGTTTCCAGCGTGGACGAAATGCATTATAGGGAAAGTGAAAGAGGAAAATCGTGCTCTTATGTTGGCTGAAGACGCATTTTTGGCACACACAGTGTCCATCCCACCACCCACACACCTCTGCTATACAACTTCCTCATATTCAAGTTTCAACAGCTATTTTTGGACAGCACACTGTCCCTTGTTTGCAGGGTGGACACAAATTTAAATACAGTACATGTACCAGGAAAGTGAAAGATGAAAATCGTGCTCTTGTGTAAGTTGTGTTGGCTGACACACAATTTGGCTCGCATAATGTCCATCCCACCACCCACACACCTCTCCCAAAAACTTTGTGAACAGCTATTTTGGGGCAGAATTCTGTCCTTGTTTGCAGACAAAATACGGTATGCAGGGTTTCGTGAACACTGTGACATTTTCCCTAGAGCTCCCAATCTTCAAAGCCTGGGCCAAAGCTTTTCAAAAAGGAGCCCATCTAAATAGCAAAGGAGCTAGCAGCCAAGATAGTTTGATAGTTGCCGGGGAAACTGAAAAATACAAGAGAACAGTTATTGAGTTAATAACTGAATTATTTGGAGAGGTGCCCGGCACATGAATTTACCAAGGAAAACTGTTCCTCGTTTTGTTTCGAAGTCACGTAACTTTTTACATGAAGGTTTGCTGTAACAATCAATTTACTTATTTCCCTTTCAAAGGTATGAGAAAGTCTGCAATTGTTCCTGTTCTTGTTCTGTAACACGCTGTATCTCCTTTTTCTTTCATGTGAAGCAAAAGGACTGGTGACTGTTCCAGTTGTTATGTATCAATTTACTTCTTTCACTTTTGAAGGCATGAAAAAGTCTGTATGAGTTCCTGTCCTCCTTCTGTTACTAACACACACTGTGTCTCCTTTTCCTTTCGGTGGACCAAACAACTTTTCCAGCACGGCTTTCCCAGTTCTTTTGTTCTTTAAAGCAAATAATCCTGTTGATCTGAACCCAGGGATGGCTTTAAAAAGAACAACATGAGTCATGTTCTATAAATGTTTGGGTGTTGGGTAACTGGCAGGCAAGCTCACCAGGATCCTTCCTGAGGAAGGGGCATGAGGCTGGTGGACTGGCCAGGGCAGGGTCACAGAGAAGTTGTTTTTTTATAAAGACCCTCTTCTAGATCTGGATTGCATCTGACTGTTTCTTAGATGACATGCCACTTGAAGTTTTTTTCCAAGAGAAAAAAAAACTATTAGAAATCTAGGCCATTAGCTGATATCAGTTCTGTAGCGAGATTTATTTTGCTTTGGAGCCAGAAAAACATCATGGCTTCCAGCCATAAGCAGTTTGCCAAACAGTTTGTGTCAAAACTGCCAACCAGTATCTTTTATAGACAACTTGATGGCAGTGAACATAAAAAACAAACTGACTCACTCCCAGCCCTCCAAAGAATGCCTTACTGTACCAGGAAACATGCCATGGCATTATTCAGGACCAGAGGATTACTGCTATGTCAGTATTGCCTGTTATAATGAAGGCATTTGAAAAGGAGGTACACCAGCAGTTCTTAGAATACCTGCATCAACAACATATCCTCTCTGCTCAACAATCTGGTTTCAGACCTGGGCATTCCACAACTACAACCCTTCTTGACGCCACAGACTACCTGTTACACAGCATAGATAGTGGTAAACTTGTCGGAGCAGTCTTCTTAGACCTAAAAAAGGCCTTTGATACTGTCGATCACAATGTCTTGCTACAGAAACTGTCCTGGGTTGGTGTCCAGGGGGTGGAGCTTAACTGGTTTACTGACTACTTAGCTGGACGGAAACAGACTGTGTGCTTAAATGGTTGTGAATCTGAATTCCTATCTGTTACCCTAGGAGTTC